ACTGGGGTTTTAATTTGCATTTTCCTAATGAGTGATGATACTGAGCACCTTTTCATATGCTTATGAAGTGCCTGTTCAAAACTTTTGTCCAATGTTTACTAGTTTATGTATCTCTTTTACTGTTTTGTAGAAGTTCTTTACATATTCTCAGATTTTCCAATAAATGTAGCACAAATATTTCCTTCCAGGCTAAAACTTGTCCTTTTGCTTTCTTAATGATGTCTTTTAATGCCAGAAGTTATACTTTTTTTTTTTTTTTGGTGAGGTACATTGGCCCTGAGTTAACATCTGTTGCCAATTCTCCCCTTTTTGCTTGAGGAAGATTGTCCCTGAGCTAACACTTGTGCCAGTCTTCCTCTATTTTGTATGTGGGACACCGCCACAGCATAGCTTGATGAGCGGTGTGGACGTCTGTGCCCAGGATCCGAAACCATGAACCCCAGGACGCCAAAGTGGGGTGCACGAACTTAACCACCACGCCACTGAGCCAGCCCCAGAAGTTATACATTTTAATAGTGTCCAATTCATGAGTCTTTTTCTGTCTAGTTACTGTTTTCTCTGTTCTACTTAAGAAATCTTTGCCTATCATTTTATCTTGCATGCTTAAGTCTGTGATTCATCTGAAATTTATTTTTTGTGTGATGTGAAGTATAGTAAATGTATTTTGTTATTTGTTTTTTGTTTTTTTCCTAATGGTTAGGCAATTGTTCTAATATTATTTACTTAAAAAATAATTCCTTGTGTACCATAATGCAGTAGTACAATATCCATAAATCAGGTGACCTTATAGGTGGGTCTCATTCTAGAGAGGTTCTGTTCCATTGGTTTATTTACCATACTGTTTTCATTACCATAGCATTACATTAAGACTTGATACCTGGTGTTATATATAACCTCTCACCATGTACTTCTTCAATATTTACTTGGTGATTCTTGGCCCTTTGCATTTCCATATAAAATGTCAAAATTTAAAGATAAGGAGAGAATATTAAAAGCAGCAAGAGAAAAACAACTTTTGTACAAGAGACTCCCCCATAAGACTAATAGCAGATTTGTCAGCAGAAACTTTGCAGGCCAGAAGAGAGTGGCACAATGTATAGGCATACCTCATTTAATTGCACTTTGCCTTATTGCCTTTTGCAGATATTGTATTTTTTACAAATTGAAAGTTTGTAGCAATCCTGTGTGAAGCAAGTCTATTGGTGCTGAAGGCTCAGATCATGGTTAGCATTTTTTAGCAATAAAGTATTTTTTAATTAAGGTATGTACATTGTTATTTTAGACATAATGCTATTGCACACTTAATAGATTACAGTATAATGTAATCATAACTTTTATATGCACTGGGAAACCAAAAAATTTGTATGACTTGTTTTATGTGATATTTACTTTATTGTGGTATTCTGGAACACATCCCACAATATCTCCGAGGTATGCCTGTATTCAAAGTCCTGGAAGAAAAAACTTCCAACTAAGAATACTCTAGCTAGCAAAGTTATCATTCAAAAGTGAAGGAGAGATAAAGAGTTTTCTAGATAAGCAAAAGCTAAAGGAGTTCATCACCACTAAACAAGCCTTATAAGAAATGTTAAAGGAACTTCTTTAAGCTGAAAAGAAAGGGCACTAATTAGTAACAAGAACATATATGAAAGAATAAACCTCACTGGAGGTAGTGGATTAATCACTTATAAAGCTAGTATGAAGGTTAAAAGACAAAAGTTGTAAAAATAACTATAGTTACAATACATAGTTAAAGGATACACAAAATAAAAAGATGTATAATGTGACATCAAAAACATAAAACACGGTTGGGGAGAATAATAATGTTGAGCTTTATAATAGGATAAAACCTAAGTTGTTATCAACTTAAAATAGATTGTTATAGATATAAGTTGTTGTATGTAAGCTTCATGGTAACCACGAAGCAAAAACCTACAGTAAATACACAAAAGATAAAGGGACAAGAATATAAGCACACCACTAAAAAAAAAATCACCAAACCACAAAAGAAGAGAGCCAGAGAAGAAAAGAACAGAGAGGAACTATAAAAACAGCCAGAAAACAATTAATAAATTCACAATAAGCACATACCTATCAATAATTACTTTAAATGTGTATTTCTGATCCTTTTGTCTCTCTGTGTTTTGTTCTGGATACTTTCTTCTGTCCTAGCTTTGAATTCATTGATTTTTCTTCAGCTGTGTCTAACCTGCTGTTAATTCTATCCAAATTCTTAATTTCAGTATTGTGTTTTACAATTATAGAACTTTTATTTGGTTCCTTTCAAAATTTTCCCTGTCCTTTTTCACTGTTTCTAGTTCTCAGCAAAATTTTAGGTTCTGTGTATCTTATCCTTGAATAGATAAACATAGTTATTTTAAATCTGTGAGTGAAAATTCCAATATCTAGAGTCCTGATGGGTCAGTTTCTATTGTTAGTCATTATACTGGTTCTTATTTGTGTTATTTTATATTTTCAAGTACCTGGTTATCTTTGATTGTATATCAGGAATTATACAGATATTCCTCAATTTACAATGGGATTATGTCCCAATCAACCCATTGTAAGTTGAAAATGTCATAAGTCAAAAATTCACTTACTACGCCTAACCTAGCAAATATCAAAGCTTAGCCTAGGCTTACTTAAACATGCTCAGAACACTTACATTAGCCTACAGTCAGGCAAAATCATCTAACAAAGCCTATTTTATAATAAAGCATTGAATATCTCACGTAATTTATCATTGAATACTGTACTGAAAGTGAAAAACAGAATGGTTGTGTGGGTACAGAATGGTTGCAAGTGTGTCAGTTGTTTACCTTTGTGATTGTGTGGCTGAGTGGGAGCTGCGGCTCACTGCCACTGGCCAGCATCATGAAAGAGTATCGTGCCACTTACTGCTAGCACAGGAAAGGTGAAAATTCAAAGTATGGTTTCTACTGAACGCCTATCATTTTCATACTATCATAAAGTCAAAATTATAAGCCAAACCGTCATAAATTGGGGACCATCTGTATTTGAAAACTTTCCTGTAGAAATAAATTCAAGGTCTTAGATGACTAATCTTCTTCCAGAAAGGATTTTTGTTGTTATTGTTGTTTCTACCAGGTACCTGGGGACACTAGCGATCTGTGACCACTTGAATTCAATTTCAGAAACTATGATTGTTCTGGGCCACCTACAGTAATTGAAGGATAATTCCAGTAATCTTGATTCCCAGGGCCTAGTTCTCTGAGGTCCCAGTACACATCAGAAGGTATCACCAGGGCTTCCACTTCTGTAGGCCCCCTGGACTCCAATTTTTGTCCCTTGACTCCATGAGACTATCAAAAGTTTACTCAGCCACTCAGATGCCCCCTCCTGATCCAGCTAACCTTCCTAGGGAAAAAGCAGCCCAAATACCTGGCTCTCACCTGGATTTTCATCTTCTACCAGATCATGGTCCAGTAATACTTCACTAGTTTGTTAGCTCTCTGATGCATTCACAGATATATTTTGTATTTTATCCAGCATTTCTAGTCTTTCTTGAGAGGCATGGAGAGGTGGAGCAATGTGTGATTTGAATTATTGATATTACCATTAACAGAAGTAGAAGCCTCCTTAAGAATTTTCATTTTTAATTTCAAGTGTTTTGGAGTTTTGGTTGAAGTTACCTAGTTCTAGTTATACAGAAATATAATGTACTATGTCCCACTTCTACATTTGCAAATGTATTGAGGGTCTTTTTTGGACTAATATATGATCACGTTTACATGAGTGTCATGTTGTGATATCAAACTTAGGCTTGGTAAAATGAGTTGGTAAGTTTTCTGTCTTTTACATCTTGAGAAACACCGGAAATTACATATGGAAATACGTTACTTCAAAGTTTGATAGAACTTATATGTGAAATATTTTTTCTATTCAAACAAGTTTCTTGATCCATTCTAGCTTTCTATATCTTCTTAAATGAATATTGGTAATTTGTATTTCCATCTATATCATTTAGATTTTCAAAATGTTTAACATATAGTAGTCTACAGTTTCATAAATATTCTCAGATATATGCAAATATATTCTAATTCTACTTACTACTGCTGCATATCTCTGTTGTCTCTCTTCCCTGATACTTTTTCTTTTAGCAAGGGTTTTTTATTTTATGTTTATGTGTGTGTGTGAGGAGGACTAGCCCTGAGCTAACATCCAATGCCAATCCTCCCTTTTTCTTGAGGAAGATTGGCCCTGGGCTAACATCTGTGCCCATCTTCCTCTACTTTATATGGGACACCCCCACAGCATGGCTTAACAAGCAGTGCGTCGGTGCGCACCTGGGATCCAAACCTGCGAACGCCCAGCCGCCACAGCGGAGCACGCACACTTAATCGTTTGCCACTGGGCCGGCCCTATTTTATCTTTTTAAAAAGCTATACTGGGTTAATAACAAAAATGAAAATTAAGAAGACAAATGGAAAACAGTAGGGGAAAAACCAGGTAAACCATAGTATAACAAAATATTCAAAAAACTATTTAAAATGAAAAGAATGTGGATTGTATTAATAAATGCATATGTTTACAGGAAATAATATAAGTAGGAAAGGTAGAACACATGCTATTACGCCCACCAAAATTATGACTTTGTAAATAGTGATCTACATGTTAGCAAAGATTAAAAGCAATTAATGAATGCAAAAATAGTTACAGTTTAGTGACTCACTGGATTTCTCTCACTAGTTATTTTGATTCTCTATTATTTAAACTGCTGTCTCTTTTCCCAGCTATTCCTTGTGGGCCGCCCCCAGCCATCGCCAATGGAGATTTCATTAGCACCAACAGAGAGTATTTTCCATACGGAACGGTGGTGACCTACTACTGTAATCCGGGAGAGAGAAGGATAAAGCCATTTCGCCTCGTGGGGGAGCCGTCAATATACTGCACCAGCATCGACAACGAAGTCGGCGTCTGGAGCGGCCCTCCCCCTCAGTGCATTCTACCTAATACATGCACGCCTCCAGACATTGAAAATGGAATCAGGGTGTCTGACAACAGAAGCTTCTTTTCCTTAAATGAAATCGTGGAGTTTAGGTGTCAGCCCGGCTTTGTCATGAAAGGACCCTCCAGTGTGCGGTGCCAGGCCCAAAACAAATGGGTGCCGGAGTTGCCGAGCTGCTCCAGGGGTGAGTCTGCCTGAGGCTTTGAAGGGCCTGTGAATGCTGAGAGTTGTAGGAGGATCAGGAGATTAGTGTTTGTTCTGGGGGAAGGATGTGTGCTGAGCCGTGTGAATGAGCACATTTTCTTGGGAGGGAATAGGAAATAAAAAAGGTGTGTGTATATGCGTGCGTGCATGTGCGTGTGTTCAAATTTAGAAGCAAAGCTAAATCTGGACCAGGAATGTGAAGTTTCCATGGGATTCTTACAAACAGAAGTTCTCTGTACATATCACTGCCTCCATCCTCCATCTTCTATCAGTTGCTCTTCAGTATAATAACCGATAATACATGAGTGATTCCTCTGGTCAGGCACCATCATATAGGCTATGTGTGCACTTAATCCTTAAAAGAAAGGATTAAAGTAGTTACTATTCTTTCCTTGTTTTATAGAGAAAATGAGTCTTAGAGAGGTTAGATAACTTTTCAAGATTAAACACATACTAATTTGCAGACTGAAGACTGACACCCAAGTCCGCCTGACTCCAGAGCCAAGGAAATAAAAAAACCACTCTACATATTTCAAGGAGTGAGGGATCAAGTGCAGATAATAGGATACAAAGATGTTGGAAGGTCAGGAAGAGCAAAAAGAGGAAGGAAGTGTTACCAGAGATCAGGGAGCTGCCCTTCCTCCTGGACTAGAGCACAGGTGCCAGCAGTCACTGCTGGAAGTGTCGCTGAGCAGGCATCTCCTCCCATGCTGCTAATGCTGCAGGAGCCACCACTGCTGCCAGAATGTAGCTGAGACTGCTGGAGCCAAAGTCATTGGCATTGTTAGAATTGAAGCTGCTGCTGCCAAACAACAGCCATCAACACTGCCACTTCCTGAGCCTCCTCTAGAAGAAGAATGGCTTCTGTCATCTTCCTGCCTTTTAACTTGGTGTATATGGCTCCAATTGTCAGAGCCTAACCAGAACCCAGCTGGCAAGGAAGATAAGCTGTTGTAGTACTCAGGCTTCCAGCTCCAGAAGTCAAAGGAGAATGAAGAGGTGTGAGGCTGGTTAGGAGTCAACAGATATTTAAGCAACACAACACTTAAATATCACATCACAGTGCATTTATTAGTCAAGGGAAACGGGGTGTTTTCAGGTGATGAGCCCTGAAAATAGGTATTATAGCATCAAGGTATTTACAAAGTCCTTAAGGAAGTCATTTATTCTAGTCCAATCCCCCATTTTATGCTTGAGAAAGCTAAAGTCCCAAGAGGGAAACTGACCTGCTCCAAGCCAAAATGAAATGATTTTTCATTTCACTACAGTTTTATATAATTTAGTTGAGACTCAAGTGCGTTCTGATCCCGAGTTCAAACCAACTGTATAAAGAGACAGTGACTCAGTTACAATATGCTGTATGTAATATGTACTCTCATTATGGGGACCGTAGGTTTTTTAGAAGATTTCATTCAGTGGTTGCCCATCTTCTCACTGGAATGAAATGAATGGTTAAGCAGCACTTGGCTATATAGAACATAGAGAGGAGATTCATAGTTCTCCGCCAACCCATGTCAGGTGGCCACTGAGAGAGGAGTTGAAAGGAGATGAGAAGAGATGTACAAATCCTGTTTGTTGCACCAGAGTGTGATAGGTGATTAGGAAATTTGTTAGATGAGACTTGGTCACAAGCATTCCTTAGTGCCTAAAAGGTGGACTATAAATTGGTGATGCCTTTCTAGAAAGGAAGTATGAAGATGTAAAAATCCATCAATCTTAACAATTGTGTACTGGGTGAACAGTAATGGGAAGCATTCTAGAAGAGAACTGTCTGCTGTGTAATCTTAGGTGTGTATTTTAGATGAAAAACAATGAATGGATAATATCTCAGTTTTAGTCACAGTTCTGCAAGGTGTCATCAGTTCTGTGGCTTTTGGCAAGACACTTCCCTCTCTCTCTCTCTGTGTTTAATTTTGCCATCAATAAAATGAGGGTGTTAGTCCACCAGGTTTTTTAAAACATGTAGACGTATAGTTATGATTCTCTTGGCCAGTTTACTACTGAGGAAAAGTTATTTTCACACAATTAACAGCACTTTGGTTCTCTTTCCTCAGCATGTCAGCCGCCTCCCGAAATTCCACATGGTAAGCACACCCCAAGCAACAAGGACGGCTTTTCCCCTGGGCAGGAAGTGTTCTACAGCTGCGAGCCTGGCTATGATCTCAGAGGGGCTGCTTCTCTGCGCTGTACGCCCCAGGGAGACTGGAGCTCATCAGCCCCCAGATGTGCAGGTGCCTAAATCTCATCCAGTTGACATTTTTAGCTTCTCTCTTTATTCTCCACGCGCCAGTGTTATTTCTGTTTGTTTTACTTTTTCTCCAGTAAAATCATGTGCTGACTTCCTGGACCAGCTCCCTCATGGCCGAGTACTATTTCCACTTAACCTCCAGCTTGGGGCACAAGTGTCCTTCGTTTGTGATGAGGGGTGAGTGTGAGGTTGCCTGGCCTGCTGGACACTGAAATTTGTGTTAAGAGTCAATTCAAAAAAAGGAAGAGCTGGTGTGGCTTGAAAAAAAAAAAAAGAATATTCAAAGAGATTAAATTTTGGAAGTGTATGTGGAAGTAAGAGTAAAGAGAAAGGGAACAAATAATATGAGATATGAAGGAAAAAACTAGGATATATGTTAAATGGCAGGTTCAAAGACAAATACAACTAGTGGTTATGAATATATAATGGTGACACATTAAGTGAAAAAATCATATTTTTTAAGCAGAAAAGAATAACAATAATTTGGAGAGTCCCAGAAAGAGTTTGATATGTAACAAAAAGATTATTAAAAATAACTAAGATCGTTTAAGAATTATTTCAGGAAATTTTTTTAACCATCAGAAGTGAAATCTGTAATAGAAGTGAAAGCACAAGAAAAAGCATTTTTTTAATCCAATCGTATATCATCTGTTTAGTCATGAGCTAAGGGCTTTGAAATGGGATCATGGTGGCTGATGTTAATGTTTTATGTAAGGTCATTGACTTATTTATGTGAATCTCGTGCTCTTCACAGTGTGCACATCTCTATATGGGAAGTATCAAGCATCAGCACAAAGCACCTGATCTCAAACTGTTTCAAGGATCCTTGGTAGGCACCAAATACCAGCACCCAATAAGATTTAGGAGCCATCAGGCTCCTAAAGATACATCGAGACTGTTGGATGATTTCATACAAAAGTCATTTCCAATCTCCTCTCCTTTTTCTCCTAGAGTGTTCAAACCTACTCTTCCACAGTCCAACATGCTGCTGTGGGCCTTCTTAACAGCCATCACAAATGTAGAGACAAAAGAACAGTCTTTGTTCTCTTCTAGTTATTCTCTGATTTTCCAATTCAAGCTGGGAGCTGTGTTACTTGCTTTTCCAGTGTCAGCATTAGGAAGATGTTGCATTAGAACACTGGGTTTCCGATAATGACAAGTAGATTTATCAGGGTTATCCTGGAACAATCAGCAAGAGCTTCACTTCTCTGAGTCCAGGATCAAGGAGATGGCAGCTATGCTACGACTGACTGCCTGCTTTCGTTCAGGCTGGGAGTATCATGTGACCAAGTCACTGTGCTCTGCCATTCTCCCTTACTGGAGGCTGTGATTTTTTCAGATTGACGAGGCCTGTGAACTTCTGCCAGCTGTTGGTTTCCGACCCTCAAAATGCTGAGATTTTTGACAGGACCTCAGTTTGTGAACTGAATGGCATTTCGGCTGAAACAACTCACCTATTCACTGCCATTTTCTTCTTTAGATTCCAGTTGAAAGGCAGCTCTGCTAGCCACTGTGTCTTGGTTGGAATGGAAAGCCTTTGGAACAGCAGTGTTCCTGTGTGTGCACGTGAGTAGAAGGAATAACACTTCAGGCCAATCACTCCCCTAAATCTGCTTAGTATTTTGACCTGTGGCCTCTCCTGTTGCGGTTCTTCTATTTCCTAATCGGAATCATTGATAGTTGCTTATTTTAATAGGATTTGGTTGTGAATCGATTTGTTGCAATGCACTTTGTTGTGCATCGTGTGTCTTGAGAGCCATCTGATCAGTTTCTGTCATTCTGAATTCTGTGTTCTATGTGATAAACCCTGCCGTAGTTTGCCTCTAGGTCAGGAGTGATTAGATAAAGTGAAGCTTTGAGAAATTTGTTTTTCTTTCTTCTTTCCTTCCTTCTTTCTTTTCTTTTCTTTTTTTTTTTTTTTGCCATCAAGGTATAGTCACTCTACAAGTTCCCTATTTGCTAATATACAAATAGGAAACATTCATTCATTCAACCAATTACTTATTGAGCACATACTGTGTGCTTGATGTTCTTTAGGCACTGGTGTTATAGCAGTGAACAAGGTGAGCTACTTCCCTATGCCTATGTTATTTATACTCAAGTGGGGAGATGGACAAGAACAAAAATTTAAAAATTAAATGCTATGGAAATGATAGATCAAAGCAATGCAGGAATGAGGGGAGAGTGGGGAGCAACATCACACAGCGTAGCAGTTGAAGACTCCTTAAACTCTTAAAGCATGTACCTAAACAAATGATGCTGCAAGTTTCAAAAATAATAAGCTGATTAATAAATGAGTCTCCTATATGCAGCATCACTACTTATTTCTTTGTATTTACCCCAGTAGAAGACAGGACTTTGTTTCATCTCTTGATCCTAAAGATTAAAATATATATATTTTTTAAACAATCAAATTTTACTAAAATGTTTATGTGGCTAGAAATCTGCTCAGACATCATATGTTGTTTTCGATAGTAAAACATTATAACAACATAACTTATATAGAGATCCCTGCTGTCCAGGAAACCCAATGTACACTGAAGTAACATAGCAAATGGCTGTCCTACTGGCATGCATCAGAGCTCATTATTGATTGGACCATTTCTCTATTTTTCATGACTCTTACTAGTTGAAGTAGCTTCTTCCAAATCTTATGTCTAATTAGAAATGCCAATTAGAAGTGAGGAGGGGCATGTTTTAAACAGACAAGCAGATACCAGCAAGAAGTAACAGTTTGAAGCCTGACAGAAAGTAAAGAAAAATAAATAAATCATCAACAGACCCATACATTTTAAAAAAAGAGCAGTCTGAATCATTTAGAGCTTTTACAATGACCCGTATATGTTCCAATTCATTGTGACAGCACTACTATCATAATCAAGATTGATGGTCCATATCAACAAGTTATCAAGGAAAGGTTTCATCTATTTAAGGTGATTAGTACACCTGGAATACGATGGAGAAATATTTCCCAAGAATGTAAGCTCCTTGGAGGACAAAGACCTCATCTGTGCTCTTCACCACTATATCCCTAGGGCCCCGACGAGTGATTGACACAGAATAAATGCTCAATTAATACATGTTCAGTAAATGAATGAGTTAGCCTCCAAATGGTTATTTTTCTTCTTTAAAAGTTTTGGTACTTAATTGAAGGTATAAAGTTTCTATTATCCAGAAAACTTAACTATCTGGAAGATTCAGGATAGGCAAATTTCTTCAGTACGTTTTTGTTTTGTTGTTTTTTTTTGCTGAGGAAGATCTGCTCTGCACTAACATACACTGCCAATCTTCCTCTTTTTGTGTATGAGCCTCCACCACAGCATGGCCACTGACAGACGAGTGGTGTGGGTCCACGCCTGGGAACCGAACCAGGGTGGCTGAAGTGGAGCGCGCCAAACTTAACCACTAGGCCACTGGGGCTGGCCCTCTTTAGTACTTTTTCAATTAAAAAATGAGATTGAGATCTCATTTCATGTAGTCCATCTCAACAAAGGCCTAAAGTATACTGTCATATCCTTAGTGTTTTTTAGGTAGCACCAACCACAGCACCCTTTGACTACAGACACCTCTGGTGAGAACTCCTCAATGAAACTTAAGTCTTGCCTTCTTTCCAGAAATCTTGTGCCCAGATCCTCCTGATATCCTGAATGGGAGACACACAGGAAAGTCCCTGAAAGTCTTTCCTTTTGGAAAAGAAGTAACTTATACATGTGACCCCCACCCAGACAGAGGGATGACCTTCAGCCTCACTGGGGAGAGCACCATCCGCTGCACAAGTGACAGTCAAGGGAATGGAATTTGGAGTGGCCCTGCCCCTCGCTGTGAAATTCCAGGTTAGTGCACACTACCCCACATGCCAAATGGCTTCAGAATATCTACACCAGACCCTCCAAGTTTCTGTTATTATAATGTGGTGTTTATGTACTTGACATGTATGTATGTGACATTTATACTAAATGCCAAATCAGTAATAAGTGGTTTTAAGATATGTCAACACATGAGAGTCTGATGACCTTGGCAGCTAGAGGGCTACTGAAAAGAGGGAGGTGGTGGGTGGTGGTTCCAATTCTGACCAGAGAATTAGAATTAAAGCGTACGAATTGAAAGCAAATAGCTCTGAACCTTCACTAGCATAAGTTATGCCATCTTCACAGGTTTGGGAGGGAATCACAGGCCAGCAGAGAACAAAGCGAGGCAAAATCACTTTTAATTACCTCTTTAGCCTGAGAACCCTGTGCATTCTCTGTGAAAACTGGGCTGCACTGTAGACAAACCACAGAGATTCCTTTACCCAATCTGGGCTAAATTCTAAATTAAAATAAAGCTTACTTGTTCCTTAGCCCCACACTAATTTTAGCTGTTGAAGTCTTCCCGCTTTGGTGGAAAGAAAAAGCAAAGGAATGTGAACTCAAGGGAAAGATGTAAAATAAGAAATGTGTACTTCTAAGGTCTGCAGAAGGTTTCCTAAGACACCCGACCCCACTAAGACACCCACCCTCAGAAAGTGAATACGGGAAGGAGAAAGTAAATTGTAGAAGGGACCCTAGTCCTGGCATAACATACTGACCACTGGGGAACTCTGAGAGAAAAGAGCAATTCTCAAGGGAAAAGGACCAAGTGCTAGTTACTCAGAAGTCATTTTTGCCCTCACTCTCCTTCAACACCATGGCTTCAACTTGGGGGGCACCTAGGAGCTTGTTTGCAAATGCAGAGACCTAGTCCAGATTTACTGAATCAACAATGAGAGGCAATCTTCCTCTAAGTTCTATGATTTTTTTTCTCATCAGAACCCTATCCTGAGAGGGCAGCCCTAGTTTTTTTTTGTTTTGTTTTGTTTTTTGTGAGGAAGACCAGACCGGAGCTTACATCCAATGCCAATCCTCCTCTTTTTGCTGAGGGAGATTAGCCCTGGGCTAACATCCGTGCCCATCTTCCTCCACTTTATATGGGACGCCGCCACAGCATGGCTTGACAAGCGGTGCGTCGGTGCGCACCCGGGATCCGAACCTGAGAACCCCGGGCCTCCACAGCGGAGCGCCATGCTTAACCGCTGTGCCACCGGGCCGGCCCCAGGCAGCCCTAGTTTTGTCAGCTAAGATTTTAGACTGGAGACCTGCCCTGCTATCTGCATGTGTGATTTAGCCTTAGGTGGTAGATTTTAGTCATAAGGTGAACTCCTTGAATTAGAAGCTAGTAGAGCTAACATTCAAGCTCTAAGATAAAAATGGAAATAGGCAATATAAATGGATAAATTTCCTGTGAATAAACCTTGAAAATAAGCCATATTTTCATATTGATAAAAATTATTTAATTATGTTCAAGAGATGAGAATTTGCGAATTTTCATACAGAGAATTCTCTGGGCACAGAATTGGCTCTAGTATAACTTTTACTGTTTAAATAAACAATTGAAAGGGAGGTAGAGGACAGCTAAAACAAAAGCTAAAAGAGAAGCTACTGTCAAAACCAACTGGAAACAATTTCTACTTTTCCAAGCATATATACTGTTTTGATTTCATATTATCTGAATCCAAAGTGAGTTTTCATTCCTTAAGCCTAGAGCTAATAGGCCATAGAAGCATGGACTTAAGGCTAGCATTTGACTCAACATACACTTCAAACAATGTTTTCTTATAATAAGGATTGTAGGTTTTGTGTGTTAGTTTGTTTTTTTTTTGTTTTAGGGAGATGCTATTTGTTTCCTGCTTGTGTTGAAATGGCTGGCTTAGGAATCAGACCTGGAAAATTGGTGGCTGCTTCTTACTGCCAAGAAATACCTTGAGTTCTCCATTCATGCTTGTGAGCCCTCTACTGGGGTTCTGATTCACTGAAGTACAAGGAAACCAGACAGGAAAGGTGTAACCTTGGCAGGAGCACTCTTTCTGGCTCACTAAAAATGTGAAAAGTTGAATTGCAGCAGTCTTTTACAGTAAATTATATGAGCAAAATGACCAGACAGCAGAATAGCCTTCCAAATAGTATATTTCTAATGGGCATGTGGTAATAGAACTTACCCTCTGAAGGTTACAAGGAAATTGTCTTTCCATAACTAGAAGTTTCTTCTGTTCTGGCATCAAATCTAACGAGAGAGAGAGAAAGAAGAACGGCACTGGGTATCTTTTTGTTAACTCTGATGCTCTTGATTTCTTGGTCTCTAGGTTACTGTAACCGCCCAGATCATTTTCAATTTGCTAAGTTGAAAATCCAAACCAATGAATCTGAGTTTCCCATTGGGACATCTTTAAAGTATGAATGCCGCCCTGAGTTCTACAGGAGGTCATTCTCTATCAGGTGTCTAGGAAACCAGACGTGGTCAAGTGCCAAAGATTTCTGTAAACGTGAGTAAATCCTGCACTGGAGCTTTCCCATGTCTATCAAAGTATCTGTAGCATCTTATTTAATTTTTTCAAATTTTAGAGATAAGAAACCTTTGTTTGTCGAAAGTGTTCAGATAGGTGGATATAAGAGTTAGTCTTGTAGGTCATCCCTACTTATTGGTTGAAATATTTATTTCTTGAGACTGTTTCAAGGAATATTTGCAGAAATATTTCCATTCCCTATGGGAAAGGAAATAATGAATGATTCCAGACCAGGAGAAAAATTTCTGAGAAGACATAAACTATTTGAATAACCAGGTCGGGGGGTGGGGGAAGAAAAATTGGAGACCTTTGAAATATACTGGTAGGATATAAGGCCACAAATAAGCTTTGTATTTTGATAAGAGATTCAAGGTAGAGATAAAGAGATCAGGAGGGGAGACCTTTTTGAAAGTGGTGCTTAGGAGATAGGTGATCCTGAAGCAGTCTGGTGAGGTTCCTCAAGGTGGCAAAATCTGTGGAACCATCAGAATTGCATGTGCTCTTCAGTAAGCTACAGTCAGGTTGGGACCTTATGTACTAACAAAAGTTTAGATTATTCTACCCTGTTCCAAAATTCTGTTTCTTTCCCATAGGTAGATCATGTAAAACTCCTCCAGATCCTATAAATGGCATGGTGCATATAGACTCTGATACCCAGTTCGGATCCAGAATTAATTATTCGTGTAATCAAGGGTAAGTTGTCAGCAACATCTCTTGGTTCAGGAGTTCCAGAACAGCAATACTACCTTCTAGTCACATCTCAGAAAGGAGAACTAGGCCATTACCATCTGCTCTTAAAAAGCTTGAACATAGATGTTTAACTCCTGATTGAAATGAACAAAGGTCTGATAAGACTCAGGGGAAATCTGTATCCTTGCTGGAAACCAGGGCAGTGCATACAAGGTGAGGTATTCACCAGGTAGAGAGGCAGCAAAAGAGAGGAGGGCTTAGTCAAACCATACAAACAGCCCTAACTCAGAGCAGATATTGATGGAAGAAAGGGAAGTCCATGGAGCAATTGTGTGAGAAAAAAATCTTAAAGGTAAGTGAACTATTAGTTTGCTTTGGCTGCTATAACAGAGAACAACAAACTGGGTGGCTTAGAACAACAGAAATTTATTCTGTCACAGTTCTGGAGGCTAGAAGTCCAAAATCAGGTATTGGCAGGATATCTCCTTTCAAAGCCTCTGAGAAAGGTTCCTTCCTTGCCTCCTCCAGCTTCTGGTAGCCTCAGGCCTTTCTTGGCATGTGGCAGCCTCACTCCAATTTCTGCCTTTGTCTTCCCATGGCCATCTTCCCTCTGTGCCTGTATCTTCACAAGGCATTGTCCTCTCTGTGTGTGTCTATGTCCAAAGTTCTCTCTTTTAATAAGGACCCCAGTCATGTTCAGTTAGGGCCCCCCTATTGACCTCATCTGACATTTGATTATATCTATACCTGATTATTTCCAAATAAGATCACATTCATGGGGACTGGGGGTTAGGACTTCAACATACCTTTTTGGGAACACTAGTCAACCCATGACAGAGCCCCCTGTGAAAATGTCAGACATAAGGTGTTTACTGGGCAGCGGTCCTATCCTTGGTGTTTACCCTTGCTCAGCATACAGAGGGGTCTCAATTTCACTCTCCGTGTGAGCAGCTGAGCCAGTTAGAGAAAATGGGCTAAATTTGTGCTGCCATGATAAACACTGAAAAGAAACCTGGGGTCTCCAGCATATTTGCCACCCTAGGCTTTACAAACCATTGTACCTAGAATCTGACAAAGTAAAATCAGAGTGAATCTAAACACTTCTCTCTTTCTCTGAGCATTTTTAATTGCAGTCTATAAATTCTCTGACTGTGCCCTCTTAATCTTGCATTACTGAATAAGGGTGAACCTCTCTATGGTATAAAACAGAAAACCATTGAGCTTATGATAAGTTACAGGAAATTAATGTAAAAGAGATCGATCTTAAAAATCAGAAGGAATTTCCTCTAACAAAACAGAATTACTTCCAAGAAACAGAGGAAACTTTCAGAAAAATTTCCTGTTTCTATTTTTAATAAGATTCAGTTGCACACTGCTTCTTATATGAAAGTAGTTAGGAAATCAGGAATGTTCATATATGAATGAAAAGCACAATTTTCAAACTAAAAAAAAATCTGTGATAAAACACACTGAATATTATAGAAAACTAAAGCAGAGACTAAGAAGAAAAATTAATCAAATTCTCCTAGAATTCAGTGGAAAGAGATAAAGAAAAAGAGAATGGAGAAGATATGTGTAAGACAGTACTAAGATTCAAAATATATGTAACAAAAATTCCAGAGGAGAAAACAATAAGGCCATACCTAGCCATCACTAGGAAACTTCTGTGTTTCAGGGATAAAGAAAGCAATTTCAAGAATGCAGAGAAGAAATTAATGAACTATAATACCTGCAAAAGAAATTAATTTATATTGATATCACATTGACCCTTGACTTCACTAAATTGCAGAAGATAGTGTTTCAATGAGACCAGCTAGTGTTCACATCTGGAGGCTCCAGATGTGCATTAAAGGATAAGCAAAGAGCCCAAAATTACACCACTTAAGCATACTTCCTGGGAAAAGAAAGAAGATAAACCCAGGCAATCCATAAGTAATTTTTTTAAAAGGAGAATGATGCAGTACAAAAGAAATATCAGTGAGGTAGAAAACTGGTAAAAACAAAGCAAAACAAAAAACACATTAAAACAATGGTCAAATATTTTCAACAAAGTTATGAAACTAAATACAACATAACTAATTATTAAATAGTGAACTTTGCAATAACTGAACTTTGCCATGTAGTCATAACTTAATAACAATCTCTAAGTCATAAAATATATCCATCAAACTAGAAAATGGGAGAAAGCAAGAAAACATAAGCTAGACTTATATAGGGGATGGGTAGACTGTACATATTTTGACTCTAAAATTGAGAAAATAAGTTTAAATACATGTGTTGTGTGTGCATATATATGTGTGTATATATATATACACACACAACACATATATATATAATACACATGCACATGAAATGAAGTTCCTAATGGAACAAAAATTGGATATTTAACTTCCAAATTATTAGAGCAACTATGATAGATTCACCTATGTGGTTCATATAGCAAATGAGAGGGAAGAAAAAGGAATAGCAAGGAATGTGTCTGCCTCTTCTGCCAGAAATAAGCCCCTCATGAAGGGAGCAGATCAAGTGTATTCATTGTTGCATCCTCATCTTTGGACATTATGAAAGAGAGTCTAAATAATGAGGACAAAGCCAAGATCAAACATACCACTGAGTTCAGTAAATTTGAATGGTTTAATCTCCCTGTGGACAGACAAAGGCTTCTTCTAAATAGGATCAAAAGCGTCAAATCTTGTAGTATTTACAAGAAACATGCCTAAACAAAAATGATATAACAGTGTTAATTATATATGCATATCAGGAAAATGCAAACAAATTAAAAAATAGCCAGAATAATATGAGAAAAGACAGAATTTGAGAAGAAAATTATCAAACACGTCTACAGAAGGATTGGGTTTTTTGGTACCTAATACAACCCACAATGAAGCCAAGAAATTAAGAAGCAGAGTGGGCCTTAAGGAATTAGAGAGGAAATAGTCCTTTCAACAGTGAGAGGATAGGTAAAGAGAAATAAGAAAAGCCAGATAAAATAGGTAGAGTATAGGCTAGTTTTTAAACTTCTCCCAGATTGTAGTCTTTCAGAGTTGCCATGTATGCATGCTGTGAGGAAGTTGGTGGGATGTTTTCCATAATTATTTTTATTTTTTGCCTTTAGGTATCGACTCGTTGGTCACTCATCTGCTAAATGTATCATCTCAGGCAATACTGTCGTTTGGGAGACGGAGCCACCAATTTGTCAACGTGAGCTGAATTGAAATCTCTTTACCCATTTATCCCACCAGTTAATCCTAGAGTTGCCCGGCTAGAATTACAAAGAATAAAGTTCATCCCTTTTAGCAATGATATCCTTCCAATATTTGAAGAAAACATATCCTTAAAAGGACTCACAATGTGCCAAGCTTCTAGTTCCTCCTGGGTTTTCCTTATCTTGGGGTATAAATTATGTTAAACAATAGCTTTGAACACATTTAAAACAACCTCAACCAACTTCCTCTTTTGTTGGTTGAACATTTCCCAGTTTGAAGATCATTCTTTTTTGTGAAGTAAGCAAGCCCCAAGTTAGTGAAAGTAGTCCTGCTTCCTCTCTGGCAATCCTTAGTGTCAGGTCATATATCCAAAAAGTGGAGCTCTACCTTCCTTCTTATTCCTCGTGGGAACAGTGACATGCCATCTTTCCTATGAGTTATTTGGAATACGAGCTTCCTACACTTTGGGACACAGAGAAGAATGGGCAATTGCAAATTAACAAAGAATATGAAGAGGATATAAACCTGAGTTTGGTGATAACGTGAAGAAATCAACACTCTCAAAACCAACTGCTGGTAGGCTGAGTGGGAACAAACTTTCTAAAAGGCCAAGCATACAATATCTATCAAAAAACTTAACCGTATGCATGCCTTTAACCCAGGAATTCTATAGTTTATGATTTATTCTTAAAAGAAAATAATCACCATGGGTTTTTGCAAGGATTGCTGTATAGATGTTACCTACATTATTGTTTATGATAGTGAAAATGTCAAAATAATCTAAATGTGGAGTATATTCCACACAACATTTTGGAAATAATCTACTAAAAGGAACAAGGCATGTGTTCTGGTAAAAAAAAAAAAAAAGTTTAACATACGCCAAAATGCATTAGACGAGAGAGATAACTCTTCCAAATGGAATCAAATAGCACATCCTTACACTGGTATATTAATCAGCCAACAAAGATATTTTAGAAAAATAGGTGGTGTGTGTGTGCGTGTGTATAAAAGATTACACATTAAACAGTTAGTCTTTCTTTCTAGATAATGGGCTTAAAAATGATTTTTATTTATATTTTGTGAATTTTCTACAGTAAATATACATCCTCTTAAAAGCAAAAATAAATAAATAAATAAGTGCCTACTTTATGGTATACCTGCCAAAAATGATAGAAATATTTTATATGCTCTGGGATGATTTTAAATCCCTAGGAATTATCTGATACATGAATATCAGAATAAATTTGTTTATAAAATTATCCATGCTTACTCTTTTTATGAGTAGCATTTGTGATACATTTTTTTCACTACTTCTATATTCTTCCTTTTCTTGAGTCAATATTGACAAAATATATCTTTATTCCTAATATCCTCACTTTCAAAATTAACATAAAGTAGAACACATATTCAGATATTTTTATTACTGCTGAATATGTGATTACTGTGTTTGTCATGTCTAATATTGTATATTTGTGCTTTATCTTTTTTTATTAGTTGTGCGAGACCTTTTTCTTTTTATTTATTTGAGAAAAATGCTATACTGTATGCTATTCTATATTAATAACCAATAGAATAAAGCCAAATGCCTTCCGTAGAGAGAGAACTGAATTAACAATAGTGAAATAACACATAAATTCTCACTTAAAATGAGAAGTATGTGGACAGATTTATTGAAATAATGTTAATTGAGAAGGGCAGAAGCCATAACATTGTGGTTACCTAATCCGCAATTGTGTAAAAACATGTGTGTACATTAGCAAATATTAGACAAGAGCAGAAGTGTTGTGAATATCGACATTTTGGTAATTTGAGTTTTTTTCATTCAACTCGTCACCAAAATTCATAATTGAGCGTAACTCTAAGAAATTGAGGTTTTGTTTAACTTGCTGTCCGTTTTCCCAGGTATTCCTTGTGGGCCGCCCCCCGCCATCGCCAATGGAGATTTCATTAGCACCAACAGAGAGTATTTTCCATACGGAACGGTGGTGACCTACTACTGTAATCCGGGAGAGAGAAGGATAAAGCCATTTCGCCTCGTGGGGGAGCCGTCAATATACTGCACCAGCATCGACAACGAAGTCGGCGTCTGGAGCGGCCCTCCCCCTCAGTGCATTCTACCTAATACATGCACGCCTCCAGACATTGAAAATGGAATCAGGGTGTCTGACAACAGAAGCTTCTTTTCCTTAAATGAAATCGTGGAGTTTAGGTGTCAGCCCGGCTTTGTCATGAAAGGACCCTCCAGTGTGCGGTGCCAGGCCCAAAACAAATGGGTGCCGGAGTTGCCGAGCTGCTCCAGGGGTGAGTCTGCCTGAGGCTTTGAAGGGCCTGTGAATGCTGAGAGTTGTAGGAGGATCAGGAGATTAGTGTTTGTTCTGGGGGAAGGATGTGTGCTGAGCCGTGTGAGTAAATTTGGGGAGACGAAGCATGAAATTAAGGTGTATGTGTGCATGTGTGTGTGTGTGCATTTTTGTACATATTTCTTCATTTTGAGAAGAACTTAATTAATCAAAGAAGGAGACATTTGAGACTCTATATTGAGCAAGTGTCAGGGCAAAGTACCAGCTCCAATATTTTTCAATTATATTGGAGAATGATATGGACTTTTTGGTCATCTTTGTAATAAGCACTTTATAGGCATTGTCTCATCTAGTCTTCACAACGCTCCTTTGAAATAGTGCTCTTCTTATATCCATATGACAGTGAAGTTAGCTTGGTTTTTCAGAGGTTAAATAAATTGTCCAAATCAAATGCTACGAAGTGGCACACTCGGATAGAATGCAAGTGTGTCAGACCCCAGAGCCTGCATGCTCTAGTTCTTGCCATACTTCTATCAGCATCTATCGCAGAAAGAAAGAAATTCACTTATGAAAACAGATGTCACACCATCGGAATAGTGACAAGACCGTAGAGTTTGTCTATTCTGGTCTACCTCCTATGTTTTATCATTAGGAATCTGAAGTTGAAAATGAAAATATCTTGCTCAAAGCCTAACAGATTTTTCATTCATCTTTAACTAGATGTAGATTAGGTTGAAGTTCAAATGAGTTCTCATGTGCATGCACCAAAAGGGCTGCAAATGAAGGCAGCCAGACCTTGAGTCAAATTCTCTCAAAGCAATATGCCCTCTCATTATGAGGACTGGCTTATTGAGCGGATTTTGTTCTCCATGGCTTGTCTTGTCTTCTTAATGCCACAATAGCCATCTTAGAAGTGGATTGGTAAATGTTGTGGCTGATACATAGGGACAGAGAGTGAGCTTACAGTTTTTCCACCAACACATATCAGCCCGTGCATCCACTGAGAGAGCAGCTGAGAGGACAAACAGACAAAGAGATATAAATATGGATTATTTACACTTTGATCATAAGAGTACAATAAAAGAGATGGGGAGAAATCTGTTAAAGATATAGGCTCAGGCAACCTTCTCATTACCTGAAAGATGAGGCTGTAAATTGGACTGACGTTCTAGAAAATATGTGGGTGGAGAAGCCCACTAATACTAATGACGCTATACTGATTAGCCAGCATTAGAAGAAGGGACCCCCATGCCTAGTAGACTTATGAATGTATTTTAGACCTTGTGCTGGGAAGAACTGGGCTCTATACCTCTTAGTAGCCGTGAGGCCTTTGGCTACATCTCTTCCCTATTCTTAACTTCCACATCCATAAAATGAGTGGGTTGGAGTATCATTTGACTTCCTTTGTTATACCTGAACCTGTTTAATTATGAGTCTAACTGCTTGGAAGGGTTAGGATTTAGCAAAAGATATCTTCCCACAACTGACAGGCACTTTGCTATTCTTTCCACAGTATGTCAGCCGCCTCCAGAAATTCCACATGGTAGGCACACTCCAAGCAACAAGAACGACTTTCCCCCTGGGGAGGAAGTGTTCTACAGCTGTGAGCCTGGCTATGATCTCAGAGGGGCTGCTTCTCTGCGCTGTACGCCCCAGGGAGACTGGAGCCCTGCAGCCCCCAGATGTGCAGGTACCTACACTCTCGTCTGGTGCAGATCAATCTCTTTGTCCCTTACATGGCAGTCTTACTTCTGTCTTTTTTTTCCTAGTGAAATCATGTGCTGACTTCCTAGACCAGCTCCCTAATGGCCATGTACTTCTCCCACTTAATTTCCAGCTTGGGGCAAAAGTGTCCTTCATTTGTGATGAGGGGTGAGTACGACCTGGAATAGAGACCAGGGACTCATTGCTGGATGCTGATACACTGACCCCCTGGGAAATGGGGATTTATCCAAAAAGGGGGCTGCCTAATGGAAAGGAAGTACTAAAAGAGACTAACATCTAAAACAACGATTAGAAAGTGTGGTAAGATCCAGATGGAACCATGAACAGATGTTTAAAAAGGGAAAGTGATAAATATACTGAACAGCAGAAATGTAACAACAGATCTTGAATATTTAGGTGGAACGTTAAGTGTATGGATAAATAGTAATTTGTAGGCATGAAGAGATAAATATTATAGAGGGGTTGTTAGAAAAGGTTTGATATATAAATGAAAGTTATTTATATGATAAATAACATGCAAGGATTGTTTCAGGAAACTTTTAAGCCGATCAATAGTGGAATTTGGAATAGGAATGAAAGAGTAAGTAGAAGTATTTTTTAATCTAATTATATATTATCTATTTAGTATTAAGCTGTGTTGAAGGAGCATGAAGCATGGAGCATGAAGAAGCGTGATGTTCATGTTTCAAGTAATGTCGTTAACTCTTTATGTGAATCTAAATGATCTTGGTATTATATTCCAATACCATTGGTAGGTAAAAAGCATGGACAATAGAACAGTTGTTGCCAATATATTCCAAGGATTCCTTGACAGGCATCAAATACCAGTCACTCCAGTCACCTGGAGGCCCTTCAGGAGGCCACTGGTCTGACAATAAACCAGATGTTTTAGAATGATTGTCCTCCAGAGAGGCTTTATCCTTTAATAATCCAGACATGCTGTAAGTCTCATTCAGAAACATTCCAAATGTACTGGCAAAAAGAGCAGTCTCTGATATCTCTCCTCAGGATCTCTGACTTGCCAACTTAAATCAGGAGTTGTTTTCCTCCTGAGCCACTAAGAGAGGAAAAATGCTATGTTTTGCATTAGAGGGCCAAGTTCCTCCTAATGACAAAAAAGGGGCTGTCAGAGAGCAGTCAAGGAAGGATGACCTCCTGAAGTTCTGGGACCAGACCAAGGAAATGTCTGTCTATGTTTTTTGTTTCTTCTTTGGTTCAGGCCTGTCTGATGACTGAGATTTGACAGTTGTTATTACTTTGTTCCTCACTGGAAGCTGCAACCTTTCAGAACATGTTTGTTTCTGAGCCTCCATGAGCTGAGAAACCTAATGAGCTGAGCTTTTTCACCTGGGATTTAACTTATGCATTAAATTGTGTTTTAGCAGAAGAAAAGAAGCTGAGATCTATCAATGAAGGGAAGAGAGATGGTGTGCTCACTCAGTCACTACTGCTTTTGTTCTTTAGGTTCCATTTAATGGGAAGTTCTGCTAGTTACTGTATCTCAGTTGGAACGGAAAGCCTTTGGAATAGCAGTGTTCCTGTGTGTGAACGTGAGTAGAAGGAATATTTGTTCAGATCTGTATCTTTCTCCTTGTTTCTTTCGTTTTCTTAATGCATTTGGCCCCATGAAATTATCTAATGTCTGCTGCTCTGTTTATCTTCATTTTTGATAGAAATATTTCTTTGCTGGGATAGTTAAAGGAATGTTTTTTGGGGAAATAAACCTTAGCATCACATGTTTTGGATACTATCTTATAATATTTACAAGCATACTATGTGCTATAAGTGGAGAGAAATGCTCCATAGGTGGAGAGAAATGCTCCATAGATGGAGAGAAATTTGTGGCCTGAAGCTTTGTCAAATTTTCCCTCTTTTCCTGTCAAAAGTCATCGTCACACTTCAGCTTTTCTATCCTGTCCTACTACCAGAACCGGGAGGAGGCAATAAAAGAGAACTCTACATTCTGTACGAACTTAGATTTTCACTCTGAGTGAGATGGAAAGCCATTGGAGTATTACGAATAGAAGAGGAACATGATATAACTTATTTTTAATGATCTCAATCTGCCTACTGTAGAGAGAATTGAGTTGAAAGGTGTAAATCTTAAGTTGAAATTCCCCGGAAAACAGTGCCAAAGGCAAAGCTTAGGTTATAATGCTCTATTGGAAGGTGCAGTCCTAGGGCAGCAAGAGTGAAGGAGAAGAAAAAGGGAGGCAGGGAGGAAAGAAAAGCAGATAAATAAAAGATATTGTGTTAATGAAGTGGCCATAAGCTTCACAAGAAAAATAGCTGGTTGTTTGGTTATATAGGACATCTCTGGACAGGCCCTATGGAATCAGAACTGACCATTAGGAAGAGGAAGAACAAGCAGTTTATCTGCTGGATCTTTCCTGTGTCCTGTCTCCAGTTTATCCCAAGAGTATTAAGCCCCCGACTTCCATGTTGTATAATCTCATCCTCCTGGTCAGACTCGGGGGTCACCATGATGTGCTGCATGGTACTCCATCTAAGCCTAGAAATGGTAGAAGGAGCCAGAGTCGCCATGTATCCAGTCATGTTGGCTTGTATGTCGGAGCTGCTTTGACCTCCACTGCAGAGGGAAAGCAGAGGCCGTGCAGGACCCCATCTCTCACCCTTAGGGAGACTAAGACAGCCCGTGTTGTTAGGAAATGAGGTAACAGTGGGTCAGCACTCTCAATGGAGAAAGCAGCTGAGGGCCCAAAAAGCAGGTGTAGCCAAGAAAACCTGGGGGTATGGCTGAGGATACGAGCTGGGAGGCTATTAGAAAAATCTAAGCAGGGATGTTGGCCCAGCAGAGCATGGGGGAGGTGAGGAGAAGTGGTCAAATTCTAGATATATTCAGAGGGTAGATATGACAGGATTTGCTGATGGTTTAGATATAGGGTTTAAAGAAGAGACTAAATGAGGTTACCTTGGGAGTGAATATGGCCAAAGAACAGATGCATGGGCTGAGCCTTGTAAATCCAATAGTAAGAACTCATAAAGATGAGAAAAAAATCAGCAAAAACATAAAGAGGCAGCAGCCAGTGTGTTAAGAGAAAAACCAGGAGGATGAGGTGTCCTGGAAGCCAAGTGGAGAAATTCTTTCAAGGAGATTAAGCTAAGAAACTGTGTCACATTCTATAGGAAGGTCAAATAAGATGAGGACTGAAAATTATCATTGGGTTTAGTGACTTGGAGGTAGTGAATGACTGACAAAAGCAGCATCCGTAGAGTTGTGGAGGCAAATGCCTGAATGGAAAGAGTTCAAGGGAGAATGAGTGCCAGAGAATGACAGATCGCAGACAACATCTTAGAGGAGTTATAACATAAAGGGAGTAGAAAAATGGGACTATAGCTGCAGAGAGAAATGGGATTAAAGGAGCTATTTCTTGTTTTTAATATAGCACAAATATAATATGTTAAATACAGAAACACTACTAATATATCCAGTCTGTCCATTTATTTCTTCATTAAATCAAACAGGATGTTGCTTCATCTTCTGATCTTAACTAGTGAAAACTACATGCTTATAAAAGAATTGTTTACAAATGAATACTTTGCTTTAAAATTATTTGGACATCTTGTACTGATTTCTATAATGAAACTTGATAATTACATCTGTCATATTTGGAAGATAGCTGTTTGAAAATCTTAACTTGCCTGGAATATAGTTAAGAAGCTGCAAAGAAAGAAAGGAAAAATATTCTCATGAACCCAAAGATATATCTAAAATCACTTGCTAGAGTATAAACATTGGTTAATCTATTCCACCCTTTGATTAGTTTTATCTGTAATTCTTTCAAGCTACAGAATTCCTCTTCCCAAATACAGATCAAAGCAGAAGGAGAAAGGAGCTTCTCCAAATAGATACACTCAAAGAAAGAAATGTGTCTTTCTTCAACGAGAAAAAAAACTGTAAAACCCAATAAGTATCTCAAAAGTCATAACATTCCTGAGCCTTTTGGAGCATGTACAGGAATACAGAGGATGTCTCATTTCACTGTGACAGCATTACTGTAACCATTCATTTTGGTTTTGAGAACAATGGGGTCAAGTCATCAAGAAAAGATTAAATCACTGATAGATAAATAGTAAATATAATATATTTTGAAATATATCTGTGGGATGAAGATCCTTAATGTTAAAAGATCTTGTCAATCTTGTGCTTAAAATAGTGCTTGATATACAGTAAGTACTCAAAAAGTTCTTATTGAATTAACAGATGATTTTCATGTTAATGTAGTTAAGAAGATTTTTGTGTATTTTAAAGGACAAAGCTCTCAATTACCCAGAAGTCTTAACTCTCTGAAGAGTTCAGGATGCTTACAATCCTTTTGGACTTTTGTAATAAACATTGATTTAGGCGTCATTTCATTTAGCTGCATCTCAGCAGAGGCCTAATATATTTATTTTTCAGTTTATACTCTCCCTGAGAATAAAGGTATTGTTAACTTGGCAACACAGTCACAGCAGCCCATAATTGCAGAATCACCTCAGATTAAAATTTGAAAATTTTAATGTAACTTATGGCTCTTATCTCCTTCCAGAAATCTTTTGTCCAAATCCTCCAGCTATCCTTAACGGGAACCACACAGGAACTTCTCTAGGAGACATTCCCTATGGAAAAGAAATATCTTACACATGTGACTCCCACCCAAACAGAGGGATGACCTTCAAGCTCATTGGGGAGAGCACCATCCGCTGCACAAGTGACAGTCAAGGGAACGGGATTTGGAGCGGCCCTGCCCCTCGCTGTGAACTTTCTGGTCCTGCTGGTCAGTGCCCACTTCCACATACCCTAAATGGGTTCAGAACATCTAGACCAGATCCTTCATTTTTCTATAATAAGATTATTGTGTTTGCTTGCGAGTTTAACTTTGTCATAAGTGGAAGTGTTAAAATTACACGCCATAGCTAAAATAGATGGTTCCAGCAGTGCCAAGCTGTGTTTGAATGGGTAAGTTGCTAATGAGACTTCTTGCTGGTGGAGTGGTGAGGAGAGTGGAGTAAGAGGAGGAAGGGGAGGCGTAGAGGGAGGGAAGGTGGTAAGGCCCAAATTGTGTAAATCAGGAAGAAAAATGTATTCATTGGAGAGGACGTGAAAACAACTGCCTATGAACACTAACCAATATCAGGATAACTGAAACACACTCTCCACAAGTTCATGGGCATGCAAAGGATAAAACTGGCAATGTGGATATTATTTAGCTAAGGCTTTAGCTAGTGTTCTGCTGAATAGGCTAAGTGACCAAAAAGACTCTCTTTGCCTTTGTGGCTTAAGACCTTGACTCAAAGCATGCCCATTTGTGAGCTTGCCTCTGGGCCCCACCTTAATCTTTGTCCGGGAACTCTTCCACTTTAGAAGTGAGAAGAAGCAAGGAAAGATCAGCCAAGGAGAAGAGTACAAAAAGGAAGTGGTTATTTCTTCCTCAGGACTGGAGAAGTTTGCCTGGTTCTTGAGGCCTGACATTAGGCCTTCCCAAGAACAGCAGCTGGAGTAGACTGGGGATGTGGCATCAGCCTTGGAATACCACATCATCTACAGGCGAGCCCTGAGAGACAAGAGCAATCCAATCAGAAAAGGCTATACGTGATGAGAGGCATTTAACCTTTCTTTGATCTCCCTCACCCTTCAACTGGGTAGTATATGTCAGAATCCAGTGAGATTTATTTAAATGCAGATACGTAGGCCCCTGGCCAGGCTTATTGAATGAGCAAACAGAAGCAGTCTCCTTCAAAGAGGAGGTAGTTGAGTTCAGACTCTATTTCAAAATATGCAGCACACAATATATCTCTCATAAAGAAGACATAGCGTCTTAGAGGAAGCTGCTTAATGGCTTAGTCTGTTTTGTCCTCGTCCTTAAATGTCTGTCTGAGCATCAGAATGAGAAGAGTGGTCTGTTAATTTCCTAGGGCTGGCATAACAAATTACCACAAACTAGATGGCTTAAAAAAACAGAGATTTATTCTCTCACAGATCTGGGGGCTAGAAGTCCGAAATCAAGGTGTTGGCAGGGCCACGCTCCCTCCTATGGCTCTAGAGGAGAATTCTACTTTGCCTCTTCCAGCTTTTGGTGGCTCCTGAAATTCCTTGGCTCATGGACACATCACACCAATCCCTGCTTCTGTCTTCACATGGCCTTCCCCCGCTTGTGTTTGTGTCTCAAATCCTCCTCTCCTTTCTCTTATAAAGATACCACCAGTCATTGGATTTAGGGCCCTCATCTCGAGATCATTACCTTAATTATATCTGAAAAGACCCTTATTCCAAATAAGTTCCCATTCTGAGATTCTGGATGGATGTACCTTTTGGGGTGACATCATTCAACCTACTACAAGTGGTGACTGCTATTCAGTGCCAGAGAAGCAGCTTATGGTGGGCACCCTGAGAATAAGGTAGAGAGGAATAAATGGAAAGAGACGGTAAAATATGTCTTGATACACACAAATACATTAGCACCAATAAATGAAGCTATGAATGGTTAATTCTAGATACAGGCACTCTGATAGGAGGCCTGACACTTGAAACTATTAGCTAAAACTCTTGCTTTGGTGAAATAAGAGCAGAAAGGCCAGAAAGGTAAATAGTTTTTCAAGTAGTAAAAGTTTCCTGATGACTAGATGCTGTTTGAAAGCACTATCCTAAGGTAACTTCAAGGGGAAGAAAATCTTTTGCTATTATCATAAGTCTCTGTTTCTGTGATCCCATCTATCAGCTTAATTGGAGAGAAAGAGGAGGTACTCTACTCTCTACTCACTTTGGAATTCCTATGCTTTTGCTCTCCAGGTTACTGTAAAGCCCCCAAGCAGTTCCCATTTGCCAAGCCTACAACCCTGACTGATGAGTCTGAGTTTCCAATTGGGACATCTTTGAATTATGAATGCTCCCCTGGGTATTTCGAGAATATGTTCTCTATCACCTGTTTAGAAAACTTGGCCTGGTCAAGTGCGGAAGATGTCTGTAGACGTGAGTAATGCCATCCTGGGAGCTAATTCATGTATGTCAAAGTGTCTGTGGGATCTGATTTAATTTGTTCAAATTTTGAAGGCGAGACATAGTTGCCCAAGGTATTTAAATGGGAGGTGGACTTCTAGGTCATCCCTTCTTATTGCCTGGAGTTGCTGCACCTCAGTTAGATATTCATTTCACGAGAACTGCTCTCACAAAAGGAATCGAAGAGAAATTTTCCATTCACAGGAAGTTACCCTTGATGGCTAAAATCATGAAATGAATAAAACAGGGGCACAAAAGAAAATTATGTCAGTCACAGTGAACTGTGATTGGCTCACTAAGATAGGGGGGAAAATCCCAAATTTTGCAGCCTTTGATTTAGGCTAATGGGATGAGAAAACAATTCTTTAACTATAAATGACCTTTTTGGGAGATGCACAGTAGTCTTTTTAAAAGCGGTGCCCAGTAGCTGCTTGATTCTGAGGTTCTATGGTGAGTTTCCTCAAAGTGGTCAATTCTGCAGAATAATCTGAAGTATATAGGCTGTTCTGTATGCTATACTCCAGTCTGAATCTTAAAAACAAAGGTAAATCGAACTCTACACCTACTCTCAAATTTTGCTTCTTTCTCATAGGAAAATCATGTGGAATTCCTCCAGAACCCTTCAACGGCATGGTGCATATAAACACAGACACCCAGTTTGGATCAACAGTTAATTATTCTTGTAATGAAGGGTGAGTTTGGAGCACTAACTCTGGAATATGAGTGTCAGAACAGCAATACCAACCTCTGACCCTGTTTTAGGTAGGCAGGCTGGACTACTGCCACTTTACTTCAAAAGTAAGCAGTAAGACTTCCAGATAGAGAAGGTAGCTTGAATACAGGCATATGACCAAAGGAATGTAAAAAAGAAGGAGCAATCTGTATCTGTATTATAGACAGGGGAGGGCATCATGATCCTGCCGGAGGTCATACATGTGAAACCTGGTAAGATATTCACTGGATGAAAAGGACCAGCCTGCCAACTAAGTCAAAGGAAAAATGCTGGTTGAACCGTGCAAACATCCTTAACTGAGATCAGCCAGTACTAGAGCAGAGTTGGAGGACCCTCAAGCAGGGGTTGGAGGGTAAATCATAAATGCAACAGCAGCTCTGGGAAATGTAAGTATGAAGTGCACAGAGTGGGGACGTTAATGGAGTTCTTGCTCTTGACTTTCCCTTGGGACAGGTGACCATGCTGGAAGCCTCTGCCTCAACTCAGAGGCAGCATTACAGAATGTGTGCTAATTTTCATTTGCCACAATCAATGCAAAGAAAAAAAGACATCTATATTAAATCTTCCTGCAAAAACTGCCCTTGGTCATGGGCCCCATCCTAATCTACCCGAGCTATTGTACCTATGATCCATCATGTTTAAACTAGGAGAAACCAAAATTTGCCCCTTCTCGCTTTGTCTAAGCCTGAGAGATTTTAAAAGCTTTCCACACAATCTCTTCACCAATCCCTTCTCACCTCCCCTTGTGAATAAGCCTAGAGCTCTCTCTGTGATGAGCACACCAAAACATCATGAAATATAAGGGAAGATACAGCAACTGAAAACAAAAGAGACCAACCTGAGAAATCAGAAAATATTCCTCCACAAATCAGTATACTCCAATAAACAAGGGAATAAACTCAAAACAGGATATTAGAAATCTCTCATATGTGTTTGTTACCCAGAATTTATGAAACATTAAGAGTTATTTTTAAGCTTTCATGATCTGATATCAGGAGACTTTACATATGGATAAAACACATGGGAGTCTAAAAAGCAGCAATAATCAGGAAATTGAATCCTGAAAAAATCCCAAAGAGATCATGAGAAAACAGAATTAAATTCACCAGAATTAACCAAGGACAAAACTGGAAATTTTGCATACATACACACACATGTACTCAGACATCTAGGTTTGAGAAAAAGAAAAGAAAGCAGAAAGAGGGGAAGCATTAATCAGCACATAATGGAACATAGTTTCCCAGACCAAAAATAAAAAGACTAGATTGTTGGAATCTTAAAAGCTTACAAAACAAATGCAAAGATTAATGATAAGAGGCCTTGGCCCTACATGGAGGAACTTTATGACTTTCAGATATTAAAAAAAGCACTGCAACTATCCAGGGATAAAATAAACAGAAGAAGAAGGAGAAATTAATATCGGCATCAAATATCTCTTCCACACAATAAATAGCAGAAATTAGTGTTTTGAGAGAAAATATTGTGTCATTCAATTTCTGTATTCAGCCAAGCTATCATTTATCTACAAGTCACAGATGTATAGTCTTACATGAGCAAGAACCCAAAACATATACCAATTAGATACACTTCCTGAGAGAAGAATCATTCCCACAAACCCATGTATAAGCTTTTTAAAGAAGAAATCAAAGAAATAGCAATGAGGCACAAAACTAGGAAAAGAGAGTCACGAAAATTATTTTAAATATGGATGTGAAACTAAATATAATGGCAGGACTAATTCTTAAAAGAGACCTCATGGAATAGGAAAAGAAGAATAATAAACTTGATATAAAATAATAGATTTTATCACTATAACTAGGAAGTTGGGGATGAAGTAAAGAAAAAAACTAAGCTTAATTTATATAGGGGATAAGTAGATAATACATATTCTTGACATAATAAATAAGGATAAAATGGCATTCCATACTAGTATAAAATGGAAATATGTAACTTCCAAATCACAAGGACAATCAAAAGAGTAAAACCACTTGCTCCATATAACAAAAGGGGTGAGAGAAGGAAAAGCGAGGGAGCTTTCCATCTCTCTTTCTGGAAATAGCAGCAGAGCAAGAATAGAGTTGGTCCTGTACACTATGGAGTTCTAGCCCTTGGAATTGTTAAATAAATGAAAGGAAAACAACACTATAAGCAAGATCAAACTCGTCAGTTATGACAGTACACGTGAATGCCTTAAATTCCCCTTTTGAAGGACAATGCCTTCCAAATATAGTCAATAGAAACATCTAACTACATGATAAGACAGATTCCTAACATAAAATGACAGAAAAAATCCACTTATAATGGTATCAAAAAAAAAAAAATACTTAGGCATAAATTTAACCAAAGAGACACAAGACTTATACATTGAAAACTATAAAACATTGCTTCAATAAAGAAGACTTAATAAATGGAAAGGCATCCATATTCATGGATTGGAAGACTTAATATTTGTAAGATGAAAACACTGCCCAAAGTGATATACAGAGTCAATGAAATGCCTATCAAAATTCCAACAGTATTTTTTGCAGAAATGGAAAAAGTATCCTAAAATTCATATAAAATTTCAAGGGACCCAAAATAGCCAAACAATCTTGAAAAGATTAGGTTATATGCAAATACTATACCATTTTATATAAGGAACTTGAGCATCCACAGATTTTGTATCTACGGGAACCAATCCTCCGTAGATACCCAGGGAAGAATGTATACAAATGGCCAATAAACAATAAAAAGACGCTAAACATTATTAGTCATTAGGGAAATGCAAATCAAACCCACTTCACACCTTCTAGGATGGCTTTAATAATAATTATTAAAAACTGAAAATAAAAAAGTATTGGTGAGAATGTGGAGAAACTGAAACACTTGTACATTGCTGGTGGGAATGTAAAATGGTGCAACCACTGCAGAAATTGTAGGTATCTACACTATGAACTATTCTGCAGCAATCAAAAAGCCTTAATTAGATCCTGTATTCAGTGACATGGATGGTTGACTGTGGTGTGATATTAACTGAGAAAACAATTTGCAGAGAAGCATGTAGAGGGTGTACATATTTCAATAAGACATCTTCCCTGCTAATTAAGGAGCTTATAATTTCCTGGATGGAAGTACACATGGATGAAACAACTCTGTGTGGTTCCCTAAAGACAAGTACGAAAATGTCCCATGATCAATAAGGGAATTATTATATTGAGTTGTGAGGGACTAGAAATGAAGATGGGTTAAAGAGGTAAGAATTTAAGCTTGTCTTTAGAAATAAAGGACTAATTTTCGAATGAAGATCAGGTTTCTTTATGGAGGTCTCCCACGTTTAATCTGTCCTCTAATTTGTAACATCTACCTGATATTATTTTCTCATGGTGACTTAAGTGGGAAACATGTGTAGAGTATAATCATTTTTCATTGTTTACTTCTAGGTATCGACTCATTGGCTCCCCATCTGCTGCTTGTCTCCTCTCAGGAAATAATGTCACTTGGGATAAGGAGGCACCTCTTTGTGAGAGTGAGTTGAAATATTTTTCCCCATAATTCCCTCCATTTGATCCATATTTGCCCCTGGAGTTACAGTGAAGAAATCCAATCCATCTCGCACAGAGTTTTCTCTCAGATATTTGAAAACTGGAATCATGTGCTGCATGGTTCTTCTGGTGATTCTTTTTTTTTTTTTTTTTTGTGAGGAAGATCAGACCTGAGCTAACATCCGTGCTAATCCTCCTCTTTTTTTTTTTGCTCAGGAAGACCGGCTCTGAACTAACATCCATTGCCTAATCCTCCTCCTTTATTTTTTCCCCCAAAGCCCCCCAGTAGATAGCTGTACATCATAGTTGCACATCCTTCTAGTTGCTATATGTGGGACAGGGCCTCAGCATGGCCGGAGAAGCGGTGGGTCGGTGTGCACCCAGGATCCAAACGCGGGCCGCCAGTAGCGGAGCACGCGCACTTAACCGCCAAGCCACGGGGCCGGCCCCTTCTGGTGATTCTTTATTTTAGGAAGTAATTTATCTGAAACTGTGGAATTGAACTCAGATACAATTGCCCTACTTTCCTGTTTTTATAGTAAATTCTTTCCAGTGTAAAGACCATTCTCCTAGTGACTAAACTTAAAAGACATTAGAGAAAATTAAATTTGTCTCTGCCACTGCATGTTAGCACATTATAATCCCAGGAAGTAGATTGCTTTCTTCCTTATTATTGTTACTCTGAACAAGGAAAGAAAGTCTTATAATTCTTAGCAATTTCCCGAAGCCTCTGGTCATTCTGCACTTTATACTTTCCTCAAATTCTTCCAGGCTCATGCCCTAGTTGCATTAGTTCTTGATTAGTTGATCATCCATCTTGTCAATGGGATATTGTAAAGTAAACCTCAAAACTTTGAGGAACATGGAAGAATGACTGCCAATTGGTGAGGTGTTAAGGATGTGAAGAAATCAGTATCACACACACTGTAGATGGCAGTAAAAGTGGAGAGAAAACTCTGGAAGGCTAATTAGCAGTGTATATAAAAGGCTTAATGCAAATACCCTTCGACCTAGCAATTCCATTTCCCAGAATTTATCCCAAGAAAATAATCATGGAATTTTCCCCTGATTTTGATCCAAAGACACTCAGTGCAACAATATTTATGACCATGGAAAATGTTAAAACTCTAAATGTTCAGCATAGTTTTCAAACAGCTAATGGAAGAAATAACATTTATTAAAAATGGGTATGATAAGTTTTTTAGAAAGGTATAAAGTGTACCATGAGGAATTAGAGATTGAGATGCCTCATCCAAGTGGAAATAGATAGTGGATCTATATATCCACATGCCCGAATATTATTCAGCCACCAAATATGATACTGTAGAAAATATATCCATAGATACACATGCATGCACACACATACATCTCTGAAATGATATACATTAAATTTTTAAGAATAGTTATTTTGCAACCATTATCATTTTCTTCTTTTTGTTTGTCCATATTTTACAAATTTCCTACAATGAATGTGTTCATTGTATTCACAAGTATTTACCAAAAGAAAATAACACTGGCTTTTAAACATTCAAAGAAATGAATGAGAAGCTATAAAGGTGCCTCCTTTACCTGCCAATAATTTTAAATTCTCTGAAAAAATTCAAATTAGCAAGGTATTATCAGTTTACTATATAAAATTTTCTAGGCTTGGCAACTTTTGTAGGGGGTTATCTTTAATGAAAAATGTTTCCACTTCTATATTTGTAAGTCAGTCAACATTTAACTGAGTCAATATTGGTTATATATATGAATGTGAACATGTGTGTACTTATTCCAATATTTTAAAAATTATATGATAGAACATAGTAGTCATTTATCATTTTATTACCCCTGAATCTGTGATTATTTCATTTCTCTTGCCTTATATTTTATATTTTCTTTTCATGAAAGATATTTGACATGTAACATTATGTAAATTTAAGACATACAGCATGTTAATTTGATACATTCATATATTGTAATATGATTGCCATTTAGCAAGAATTAGCACCTCTATCATGTTACATAATTATCCTTTCTTTTTAGTAGCTGGAATAAAGTTCTAGTCTCCTAGCAATTTTGATGATTATAACACTAAATTGTTGTCTATATTCACTGTATTATGCATTATATTTCTAGGGCTTATTTACTACTCATTTTAAGTTTATACCCTTAAACAACATCTGTCCTATCCTCCCACCCCCCATCCTCTGGTAATAACCATTTTATTTTTTCTAGTTTTGCTTTTTTACTTCCACCTGTAAGTGATAACATACAGTACTTGTCTTCCTCTGTCTAACATCTCACTTAGCATAATGTGCTCAAGGTCCATCCAATGTTGTCACAAATGGCAGGATGTCCTCCTTTCTCATGGCTGAATAATATTCCATTGTGTGGAATATATACCACGTATTCTTTATCCATTCATCTATTGATGGAAACTTAGATTGCTTCCATATCTTGGCTAGTGTAAACAATGCTGCAAGGAACATGGAGGTGCAGATATCTTTTCAAGTTAGTGTTTTCATTTTCTTTGGACAAATACCCAGAAGTGGAATTGCTGGATCATATGGTAGTTCTATTTTAAATTTTTTGAGGAACCTCTACACTGTTTTCTATAGTGACTGCACCAATTTACATTCCCACAAACTGTGTACAAGGGTTCCCTTTTCTTCACATCCTTGAGAACACTTGTTATCTCATCTTCTTGACGATAGCCATTCTAACAGGTGTGAAGTGATATCTCATTTTGGTTTTAATTTGCATTTTCCTGATGATTAGTAATGTTAAGCATCTTTTCATGTACTTGTTGAACATTTGGATGTCTTCTTTGGAAAAATGTCTATTTAGTTCTTCTGCCCATTTTTTAATCGAATTATTTGCTTTTTTCTTACTGAGTTCTATGAGTTATTTATATATTTTGAATGTTAACCCCTTATCCGATATATGGTTTGCAAAAATTTTCCCCCATTCTGTAGGTTGCCTTTTCGTTTTGTTAATTGTTTCTTTTGCTATGCAAAAGCTTTTACGTTTGATGTAGTCCCATTTGCTGAGTTGTGCTTTTGTTGTTTGTGCTTCTGGTGGCACATCCAAAAAGCCATTGCCAAGACCAATGTCAAGGAGCCTCACCCCTACTTTCTCTTCTAGGATTCTTATAGTATCAGGTCTTATATTTAAGTCTTTGATCCATTTCAAGTTAATTTTTGTGAGTGCTGTAAGATAGGGGTCCAATTTCAATCCTCTGCATGTGTTTATCCAGTTTTTCCAGCACCATTTGTTGAAGAGACTATCCTTCCCCCGTTGGGTGCTCTTGGCTCCCTTGTTGAATATTAGTTGACTGTATAAGCAGGGGCTTAATTCCGGGCTCTCTATTCTGTTCCTTTGGTCTATGTATCTATTTTTGTGCCAGTACTATATTGATTTTATTACTGTAACTTTGTAGTATAGTTTGAAATCAGGAAATGTGATTCTTCCAGCTTTGTTCTTTTTCATTAGGATTGCTTTGGCCATTCGGGGTCTTTTGTGGTTCCATACAAATTTTAGGGTAGTTTTTTCTATTTCTGTGAAGAATTCCATTGTTATTTTGATGTGGATTCCATTGAATCTATAGATGGGTTTGGATAGTATAGACATTTTAACAACACTAATTCTTCTGATCTATGAATATGGCATGCCTTTCCGTTTCTTTGCATCTTGTTCAATTTCTTTCAGCAAAGTCTTACAGTTTTCCTGTAACTTTAACTTCCTTAGTTAAAACTATTCCTAAGTATTTTATTCTTTTTGATTCTATTGTAAATGGGCATGTTTTATTTCTTTTTCAGATGTTCCATCCGTAGTGTATAGAAATGCAACTGATTTATGTATGTTGATTTTGTATCCTGCAGCGTTACTGAAATCATTGATTACTTCCCACAGTTTTTTGGTTGAGTCTTTCAGATTTTCTAGGTACAGAATCATATCACCTGCAAATAGTGACAGTTTTACTTCTTCCTTCCTGATTTGGATGCCTTTTATCTCTTCGCATTCCCTAATTGCTCTTGCTAGGACTTCCAGTACTTTATTGAATAAAAGTGGTGAGAGTGGGCATCCTTGTCTTGTTCCTGATCTTAGAGGAAAAGCCTTCAATTTTTCTTCATTTTGTATAATGTTACCTGTGGGTTTGTTGTATATGGCCTTAATTATCTTGCAGTATGTTCCTTCTATACCCAGTATGCCATGGTTTTCGTAATGAAAGGATGTTGTGTCTTGTCAAATGCTTTCTCTGCATCTATTGAGATGATCATGTGATTTTTTGATCTTTCATTTTATTAATGTGATGTATTACATTTATTGATTTTTATATGTTGAAACATCCGTGCATCCCAGAGATAAATCCCACTTGGTCATGGTGTATGATCCTTTTAATGTGTTCTTGAATTTGGTCTGCTAATATTTTGTTGAGAATTTTTGCATGTATATTCATCAGGAATATTGGTCTATAGTTTTCTTTTCTTGTGGTGTCCTTATCTAGCTTTGGTATGAGGGTAATCTAATGCTGGCTTCATAGAAAGAGTTTGGAAGTATTCCCTCTTCCATAATTCTTTGTAAGAGTTTGAAAAGAATGAGTGTTCATTCTTCTTTAAATGTTTGGTAGAACTGGCCAGGGAAGCTGCCTGGCCTTGGGGTTTTCTGTGTTGGGAGGTTTTTCATTACTGATTCAATCTCTTTGCTCGTTATTGGTCTGTTTAGATTTTCTGTTTCTTCCTGATTCGGTCTTGGTAGGTTTTGTGTTTCTAGAAATTTTTCCATTTCTTCTAGGTTATCCAATTTCTTGACATATAATTGTTCATAATAGTTTTTCATGGTCCTATGTATTTCTGTAGTATCAGTTGTAATCTCTCCTTTTTCAGATCTAATTTTATTTATTTGAGTCTTCTCTCTTTTTTCTCAGTCTGGCTAAAAATTTGTCAGTTTTGTTTATCTTTTCATAGAACCATGTTTTAGTTTCATTAATCCTTTCTAATGTTTTGTTTTTCCCTGCTCTGAACTTTATTATTTCCTTCCTTCTGCTCTGAACTTTATTATTTCCTTCCTTCGCTAACTTTGGCTTAATTTGCTCTTCTTTTTCTAGTTCCTTGAGGTGTAAAGTGAGGTGGTTTATTTGAGATCTTTCTAATTTATTAATATATGCATTTATTGCTATAAACTTTCCGCTCAGAACTGCTTTTGCTGCATCCCATAAGATTTGATATTTTGTATTTCCCTTTTCATTTGTTTTGAGACAATATTTTATGTCCCTTTTGATTTCTTCTTTGACCCATTGGTTGTTCAGGAGTATATTATTTACTTTTCACATGTTTGTAGATTTTCCAGCTTTCCTCTTGTTGTTGATTTTTAGTTTCATACCATTGTGGTCAGAAAAAATAGTTTGTATGATTTCAATTCTTAAATTTGCTGAGATTTTTTTTGTGCCCTATCATATGATCTATCCTGGAAAATGTTTTGTGTGCACTTGAGAAGAATGTGTAGTCTGCTGCTGTTGGATGGAGTGTTCTATATATGTCCGTTAAGGCTATTTGTTCTAGAGTATGGTTCAATTCCAGTGTTTCCTTGTTGATTTTCTGTCTGGATGATCTGTCCATTGCTGACAGTGGGGTACTGAAGTCCCCTACTATTATTGTATTGTTGTCTATTTCTCCCTTTAGATCTCTTAGTATTTGCCTAATATATTTTGGCACTCTGATGTTGGGTGTGTATATATTTATGATTGTTATATCTTCTTGATGTACTGACTCTTATCATTATATAATGATCTTCTTAGTCTCTTGTTATCATTTTTGGCTTCAAGTTTCTTTTGTCTGATATAAGTATAGCTATGCCCACTTTCTTTTGGTTTCCACTTGCATAGAATATCCTCTTCCATCCCTTCACTTTAAGCCTATGTGTGTCCTTAGAGCTGAGATGAGTTTCTTATAGGGAGCATATAGTTGGGCCTTGTTGTTTTATCCATCTAGCCACTCTGCCTTTTGATGAGTGAATTCAATCCATTTACATTTAGAATGATTATTGATGTGTAAAGACTTACTACTGCTATCTTGTCATTTGCCTTCTGGTTATTTTGTTTCCCCTTTGTTTCTTTTTCTCTCTGTTTCTCTCTACCTTTGTAAAGTAGTGGTTTTCCATGGTGATTTGCTTGGTCTCCCCCTTTTTATGTTTCATGACCCTAGATTTTTGCTTTGTGGTTACCATGTGACTTACATAAAACATCTCATAGAAAAAATAGCCCTTTTTATGCTGATTGCACCCTATCTTTATTCACCTATAAATTTTCCACCCTTCTCTACTCCTTCCCTTTTATATTTTTGATGTCACAATTTATCTTTTTATGCTGTGAATTCATTGAGAATTTACAGTAGCTACAGTTATTTTTAATGTTCTTTTGCTTAAACCTTTATACTATAATTAAGTGGTTAACAAACCTTTCTAATATAGAGTTACAGTTTTCTAATTCTGAATGTTTTTCACCTTTGCTAGAGTATTGTGTACTTTCATTTGCTTTTATGTCAATAATTAGTGTCTTTTCATTTCAGCTTGAAGAACTCCATTCAGCATTTTTTGCAAAGCAGGTCCAATGGTGGTGAACTCTCTCAGTTTTTATTTGTCTGGGAAAGCCTTTATTTCTTCCTCATATCTGAGGGATACCTTTGCCAAATAAAGTATTTTTGGCTGGCAATTTTTATCTTTGAGCCCTTTGAATATGTCATTCCACTCTCTCCTGGCCTGTAGAGTTTCTGCTGAGAAATCTGCTGATAGCCTAATGGGGGTTCTTTTATAGGTTACTTTCTTTTTTTCCCTGGCTGCCTTAAGGATTCTTTCTTTATCATTGATTTTTGACAGTTCCATTATAATGTATTTTGGACAAGGTCTTTGCATTGAGATAATAGGGTGTTCTACTAGCTTCTTTGATTTGTATGTTCTATTCCTTTCCCAGGTTTGGAAAGTTCTCAGCTATTATTTCTCTAAATACACGCTCTGCTCCCTTCTTCCTCTTTTCTCCTTCTGGTAAATCAATTATTCATATATTTGTTTTTCTCATCTTATCTGACAGCTGTCATAGGATTTCTTCACTTTTTAAAAATCTTAGTTCTTGCTCTTGTTCTGAGTCATTTCTAAATTCCTATCCTCCAGGTTGCTAATTGTTTCTTCAATCTGATCTGCCCTATTTCCTAAGCTCTCTTGTGTATTCTTCATCTGATTCATCGAATTCTTCATCTCCAGAATTTGTCTGTTTTTTATTTCAATTTCTTTGGTAAAGAACTCCTATTCATTAATTGTATTACTTACTTCGTTGAATTGCCTTTCTGAGTTTTCTTGTAGCTTGTTCAACTCTTCATAACATCTATTTTGAATTCTTTATTAGATCACAATATTCCATGCCTTTGGGTTCAGTTGCTAGGGGATTATTATTTTCTTTTTTTGATTCCATGTTACTGTGATTTTTCATAGTTTTTGACAAAATGTGCCTCTGCAATCACATTTGAAGTAGCATACACCTTTCTTAGTTGTTTACTTTAACTGTTACAGTTCAACATGTGTCACTATAGCTCAAGTTTTGTTTTTTCTTTACCTGAGTTGGCTCTAGGGCAGCACTCAGGAGTGGGATGCTGGCATAGAAAAGAAGAAAAAGCTGGCGTAGAAAAAGCTGGTGGCAGAGTGGGGGGAGGTGTGGGCTTAGCACCTGGGGCTTATGTGGGTACCCACTGCCAGTAGGAAGATCCTCCAGTTGGGGTACTCCCAGAGGTCCATGGGCATACCTCCTGCTGAAATCCTGAAGCACACAGTAGAGAATTCATTCCTTCAGTGTCCTTTGTTATTCTCATCTGCTTCTTTCTTTTTCCTCTCCCTCCCCCTAGTCACGGAGGTCTCTCCTCAGAAATCCATGCTGCAGGAGAGAAATGGTTCCCTCCAGCTGTGACCCACATAGCTTGGCAGTCAGTCAGTCACCACTTTCTCTTTTCACCTCCTCTGTGGGGGAGGTTGCTGTTGTCACTGTTGGCAAAAGGAAACTGACTCCTAGAGATTCTCCTTCTCCTCTGCCTCCAAACTCATCTCTATCCTGCTTCTATGGTGTGCCTAGTTCTCCAGTTAGGCTGGCTGGACTTCCAAAAATTCTCTGTCTCCTTTGCATGTCCGCCCTGTTTTGCCCTCTCCAGCTTTGCTTTGTCCCCAGTTGTGGCAAGTGGGGGCGGGGCAGGTTCACCTAATCCCTTGGATCTGCAGCCCCTCCAAAGTCCTTTCCCCATACTTTCTGAAGCACAGGTGGGTAAAAATCTCCTGGGTGTTCTGTTGTAATGTGCAGAGGCACTTTTGTTTGGAAAAAAGGAACGACACACACTGCCATGGGCTGATATCACTCTTGTCTTTTCTCTTTTCCTGATGAGTAGTGCCAGAGGTGGTCAATTTAACCTGAAAAGATGTTATTAAATAATCAATAGAAAAAATAGCTCAGCAGTAAGTAGATAATTTAACAATCTATGATACAATCACAGAGATTATCCACTCAAAATCACAAATATGTAAACCATAATAATACATGGATATTTTTACAGGAAATAATTATCACAGACAGAACCCATATCACAAACACGTAAATTTCAACTATGTAAACATGTCTGATTATTAGCAAATATTAGAAGAAAAGTATTGTAATTATAGTTTAGAAAGTTATTTGATTTTTGTTTTTGTTATTTAAATTCATAGTAAAAAAAATAATTCTGAAAAAAGGAAAACTACAGAGAAAGTAAAAACATCAGTGGTTGTCAGGGGTTGGGGTGAGGGGTAGAGTTAATAGGCAGAGCACTGAGGATTTTTAGGCAAGTGGAAATACATAATGATGGATATATGTCATTATATATTTGTCTAAACCCATAGAATGTGCAACACTAAGAGTGAACTCTGATATAAACTATGGACTTGGGTGATTATGATGTGTCAATGTAGGTTCATCAATTGTAACAAATGTACAACTCTGGTGAGGGACGTTGATAATGGGGGTGACTATGCAGGTGTAGGGGCCAGGGGATATGGGAAATCTCTGTACCTTTCCCTCAATTTTGCCAAGAACCTAAAACTGCTCTAAAAAATTTGTCTTAAAAAAATTGAAAGCTAAGCTTTTGTTTACCATGCTCTCCCCTACTCCAGGTATATCTTGTGAGCCACCCCCAGCCATATCCAATGGAGACTACTACAGCAGCAATAGAACTGCTTTTCAATATGAAACAGTGGTCACTTATTGGTGTTTCACTGGGCCAGATGGAGAAAAGCTGTTTGACCTTGTGGGAGAACAGTCGATATCCTGTACCAGCAAAGACAATCAAGTTGGTGTTTGGAGCAGCCCTCCTCCTCAGTGTGTTCCTGCTAATAAATGCACAACTCCAGAAATTGAAAATGGAATTAGACTATCTGGAAATAGGAGTTCATTTTCCTTAAGTGACATTGTGAGATTTAGATGTCAGCCTGGCTTTGTCATGAAAGGGTCCAACATTGTGCAGTGCTGGGCCAACAACACATGGGTGCCTGAGCTGCCAAGCTGCTCCAGGGGTGAGTTTCATCCACTGAGACTCTGCTGGGGGTATGTGGGGAGGGTAAATGATAAGAGTTGTTGAAATTAAGGAAGGTGTGTGTGTGAGTGCGTGCACACACAAAGACGATGAAATTGTTATAAACACTCTAAACGTAACTCTACTATGTTATCTCTGATGATAAATATTGTCAAAAAGGAATGGTTTACCTTGTGTCATCTGTAAAACACATTTTTTATGCATTGTTTAATTTAATACTTAGAGTAAACATATGAAGTAGGAGCTATTCTTATTCCCATTTTACATTGAGAAATCTGAGTCATAGAGATGTTAAATAACCTTTCCCAGGTCACAGAGCTAGTAAATAGCAGAATGAAGCCTGGAATTCAAGAGCCTTTCTGATTGCAGAGCCTACTGATAATATATAGTGAAATGTACGATGAATATAATGTATGATAACAGTGACATAGATCTCTCATTGGAGGGCGTCAAGAGGCAAATAAGTCATGGGACCTAAATGATAGCATCAGATTAAAAAGGCCTGAGACTTCAGTCATTCTGTTCTAACTCCTCCGTGTTATTATTGAAAACTCGGAGGCTCTGAAAGGGGAAATGACTTGCTCAAATACAAGAAAATATATTTTTTTTAATTTTTATTCAATTATATATGGTTCAAATTGAGGCTCAAATGTATTCTGATGCCCTGAGCATACATCAATTGGGCTACGGATGGAGGCAGCCAAAATTTGAGTGAAAATATGCTCTAAGCAATATGTTCTCTCTTCAGAAATTCTATAGCTTATTTCTTTTAAGGGAATTTTGTTCTTGATGGCCTCTCTTGTCTTCTGGTACTGAATGGCTGTCTTAGCAGTGCAGTGGGAAGAATATGGGCTGGCACATAGGGACCAAGAGCAGGAGCAGGGAGGAAAAATGAAGGGGTACGTGTGACTGACTGCACAGTAAGCTAGGTGAGGGGGTCTGTTTGATGAGACTTGGGCAAAGGTGTCTTTTGTTGTTGCCAGAAAGGCTACCTTTCTAGGAAGTGTAAGAGCAGAACAAGCCACCAGCACTCACGAATCTGTACTGGACAGCCAGTACCCGAAAGCAAAAGGAATACTCTGCTTCTAGTCTTAGGAACATTTTAGTAGAACTAACACAGACAAGGTGTTGGAAAGACCTTGGTTCTAGTTACAGCTCTGCTCTGTGGCTTAAGTTTGGTCATCAGTAAAACATGGGTACTGAACTACCAGATCTTTTCTTTTAAAATCTGTACTCTGTTATTAGGATTTTTAAGCTCCCTGGAAGGCAGAGGGTATAGCAAAAGATATCTTCCCACAACTGACAGGCACTTTGCTATTCTTTCCACAGTATGTCAGCCGCCTCCAGAAATTCCACATGGTAGGCACACTCCAAGCAACAAGGACGACTTTCCCCCTGGGGAGGAAGTGTTCTACAGCTGTGAGCCCGGCTATGATCTCAGAGGGTCTGCTTCTCTGCGCTGTACGCCCCAGGGAGACTGGAGCCCTGCAGCCCCCAGATGTGCAGGTGGCCACACTCTTGTCTGGTTTTCAGATCAGTGATCTCTTGGTCACTCACATGGCAGTCTTACTCTTGTTTTTTTTCTCCTAGTGAAATCATGTGCTGACTTCCTAGACCAACTCCCTAATGGCCGTGTACTCCTCCCACTTAATTTCCAGCTTGGGGCAAAAGTGTCCTTTGTTTGTGATGAGGGGTGAGTGTGACATGGAATGGAGACCAGGGACTCAGTGCTGGATAGTGACTCTTGGGTTCAGGAGTTAATCTACAAAGCGGGGCTGACCTATGGAAAAGAGGTACCCAGGGAGATTAATTTCTGGGTAGTTTTGAAATAAGGCTAAGGACTCAGTGGCACCACTATTAGGAGATAAAGAAAATGGCACATATAATGCAATGTCAAGTACAAACATAAATATAGACACTGAGCTTGAATTTATGGTTGGAACTGGAAGAAAATGGGTGAATAGTTGTTTGGAGGCAGGAAAATGTATTTTTATGGAAAATTTGCTGGTAAAAAGTTTGATGTATAAGACAAAAATTGTTTCCATTGTGATAAAAGTAGGCAAGGGTTGTTTAAGGAATCTTAAAGCCAATCAATAGTAGAATTTGTAACAGTGTATGGATAAGTGTTTTTAATCCAATCACATGTCTTTGCATCAGTAATGTCTTTGACACTGGAATCACAATGGCTGATGTTATTGTTTCAGGTAGTATTATTAGACGTTTATGTGGATCTAGTATTCTCCATGGTCTGCGCTACCTGTCTGGGGGAGGACCAAGATTGGGCAATACAGCAATTATTTTTAATGATTTCCAAGGAATCTTTGACATTTACAAAGCCTACCACCCAATAACGATCAGCAGATTTCAGAAGGACTATAGGAGCCATTAAAAGCTAGGCCTTTCAGGGTGGCAAAGACTCCTCCCCTCATCCCTCTTTATTTTCTCGAACATTTGGCCCATATGCTTCTGTGAGCCTCTTTCTGGTCATTACAAATGTCACGGCCAGAACACTGCCATTCTCTTTCCAGATGTTCTCTGCTTTGCTCACCCAGATCGAGAGCTGTCCTTCCTCACGACCCACTAATGAGAATAAGTGGGATGTCAGAGGGCTGTCAGTGAGAGATGGGTGTGGGTCTAGAGCACAGGAAGGAGTACAGCCTGTGTTCAGTAACTTCTCTAGGTGACACTGGGCTATGATGTCTGTATGACTATTAAGTGTACAAGTTCTGATTGCTTTGCCTGTCACAGGATATTGTGATTCTTTAGAATAATTTGGCTTCAGTTCCTGCCAGCTACTGAATTCAAGTCCCTAATGAACTGAGACATTTAGCTGGGCCTGAACTGAAGAACCAAATGGTATTTAGGCTGAAGTGAGAAAGTTGAGCATCTATCAGTGATGAGATGAAGGGAATTGCTCACCCATTTGTACCCCTTGTTATTCTTCAGGTTCCAATTAAAAGGCAGCCCTGCTAGTCATTGTGTCTTGGTTGGAATGAAAAGCCTTTGGAGCAGCAGTGTTCCTGTGTGTGAACGTGAGTAAAAGGAACAACTATGCAGGCTTGATACTCCCCTTAGTTTTTTTTTCCAGCATGTTTTGCCTTGGGGAATCACCTGTTTTCTGGATCTTTATTTAACTAAGTTACTGATAAAATACTTCTTTGTTGGAAGAACTTCAAAGGGGTGTTGTAGGTCTTTTACATCATGTGTTTATGTTACTAATCCGTAAACCACTAATTTAATGCCAGTGGTGAATTTTGTGGGGAATATGTAGGGAGAAACTAGATGACATAAAGATATCCCAAAATTTATTTATTCATTTATTTTTTAGCTTCACCATCGAGGAGTAACCTCTCTTAAATGTTTATTTCCTTTTATCCCCCACATCTCTAAACTATTTATTCAGTCTGTTATTTAGTCCACAGTATTTACTGAGGAAGGGCTTCCCCTGGGCGAGGACTTTCCCTGTGGGAAAAGGGCTGAACAGGAAAGTCTTATCCCTGCTCTCACGGAGTTCATTTTCTACTTGGAGAGGCAACAATGAACAAGAAAATAAATAGGTAAACAAATAAAAATAAAATATATAAGAAGGTATGTTAAAAAGTGGTAAGTGTTATAGAGAAAATAAAGCAGAGTTAATGATAAGTTAGTGTGGAGCAGTGAGGTGAGTCAATATTTGAAATGATGAGGTGACGTGCCCTCAATTTCGAAACCACTCACTTAAATACCAAATGTTCAGAAACTGATAAATAGATAAAAGTGTTTCATACACCAAGACATTACTGATTTATCCTACTCTGTTTATTAAAGCAAGACAAGACTTTTTTTTAAATCCGTTTTTCCTAATGATTAAAAATTGTTCATTTTAATTTAGATTTTGTTAAAATATCTTGCTAGAAATCTATTTGGACATCTTATGGGATAATGGTGGAACTTTATAAGAACATTCAATATGTATAACTCAGATATCCAACAAACTGAGCCTTGCTGAGACACATAAAGCTGAAAATAAGTATATAAGTAAACTTTGGAGAAACGCAAACACACAGGTAAAATCCAGTAAGGGAAGTCTCTTGTTGTTTGATGCACTAAGGCCTTCACTGTGTTTATTCACACAGTTCTGACAAGGTTTGGAATCTCTTCCTAAATCCATATCAGATTAGATGCATCAAATTAGTTTTAGGGAAAGAACTGCTAGAAACACATACACTAAAAGCAGGAAGAAATGACACCTGATAGCTTGGAAGAGAAAAAAAACTCAAAAGAAAAACACAAAAGGCTCCAGGGAGCCATTTAAGCTGGCTATAAAGAACCCTATAGGAATTAATGTATTCTGATGACACTACTGTATATTTGGTATTGGTACTGATCATAGTGGTCTTGGGTCATGAAGGAACGTTTACATCTGCTGAAAATGATGATCCATGTTTAATAAACTTCACAAAGATTTCCCTGGACTTTCAGATCTTTGAGGGCCAAAACTTTGTCTGTCTTGTGCCCTATTATCAACCCAGCACTCTTATGATGTCTCACATAAAGTAGGTTATCAAATGGTTGCTGAAAAAAAACAGATTAATCCCTTTCCAAACTGATTAAAAACTTAGCTACCTAGAGGATTTTTGAATTTTACAATAAACTGTAATTTAAATCTCACCTCAGTTAGTTCCTTCTCAGAAAAACCCTTACATATTTAAATTGGCATCCACCTTAGTTATGGTCTCATGGAAAAAAAACTTATTCATAACACAGTCCCAGGTCACTATTATTGTATAATCACTTTAACTGAAACTCTAATGGAACCTAAAGCTCTTGTATTCTTTCTAGAAATCTTTTGTCCAAATCCTCCGGCAATCCTTAATGGGAACCACACAGGAACTTCTCTGGGAGACATTCCCTATGGAAAAGAAATATCTTACACATGTGACTCCCACCCAGAAAGAGGGATGACCTTCAACCTCATTGGGGAGAGCACCATCCGCTGCACAAGTGACAGTCAAGGGAACGGGATTTGGAGTGGCCCTGCCCCTCGCTGTGAACTTTCTGGTCCTCCTGGTCAGTGCACAATTCCCCACACTCCAGATGGATCAGAATGTCTAGGGGAGAACCTCCACATTTCTATAGTTACAGTCAGTTTTGCTTGTGAACATGGCTGTGTTATAAATGTCAGACACAGAATTACCTGCCAGGTGAATAACAGATGGATTCTAGATGAGCCACACTGTGTCCCAATGGTGGTATTCTGATGACCCTGCTGGGGTGAGGACTGTGGGATGGTGAGGAGAGGAGGGAATGAAGAGCAGCGAGATCCGTGAGGCCCACATTTTAGAGAATATTTCCGAAGCACTGAAAACAAATGCCAGAGAAAATACTCTGTTATGCCATCTATATTAGTTGTTTTCATACTAGATAGATGGGTGTGCTGAGCAAAACATACATGTTGATGGCAGTAATTCACTTCAGAATTGATAATGCCATAGAAATAGTTTAAGAAACTCCTGATATAGGCATTATTATACAGGCATATACTCCTTTTCTTACTTCTAAGTGTTCTGCTCAGCCAGTGACTGTATTATGTTGACCCTTCATCTCATCTTTAGCAAAGGGAACTCAGGACGCCCTGGAGAAGTGGAGTTCAAGGTTGTGCTCTTGGCCTCTGTAGCTCATTCCTCTTCCATATTAGTCTGGCTTTAAATGACAGTACCTGACCATCATAGGCTCATTTGTGGCTGTGATTGTTGACACGAGCTCCATCCTCCAGTGAGGACAGACAGTGTTGAATTGGTAGTCTGTAGATCTCGGTGGTGCTCCCACCTGGTGCAGTTACAGGTAGAGAATATGGATGATCCAGTATAAAAGTTGACAGGTCTGGATTTAGAGAATCGGTCTTCCCACTGATCAACAAACATTTAGTACCTTGGGAACTTGTCTGCCTTGGGACTCCCTGTGGCTCTAATAGCCAGAGATACTAATAGATTGTGTTGGCGTGTTCATACTTCTATGTTTAACTGAATGTCTCTTCTTGTGTTTTGGGGAAACTTGTTCTTAGCATGCCCACATCCACCCAAGATCCACAACGGGCATCTCATTGGAGGACATGCATCTCCATATCTTCCTGGGGTGACTGTCACCTACACTTGTGACCTAGGCTACCTGTTGGTGGGAAAGGCCTTCATTTTTTGTACACACCAGGGAACCTGGAGCCAATCTGATCATTATTGCAAAGGTATTTCTTATTCTTTCTGGATTTTTATGGAAAATTGATGCATGAGGCTAATAAGGCTGAGGGATCATTTCTGAGAGGATCATGAAATGAGTATCGACAGAGGAGAAGAACAGAACAAAAGGTAGGAAGGAGCTCAATTCTACTGAATAAGTAGGAAGAATCGACAGAATTTCCAGTAATACAATAGACATCAAACACCAATTTTAAAAGATTTACGAGCTTTTAACTAACAAAATGTTTCAGCTCTAAAGGACCTCAGAGGGTCACAGGTGGTCCTCACAAATACCCTTAGAAGGTAAATAGGAAACTGGAAGCACACTTTGTTTTGAGGAAAACTGAAACCTGAAGCAAGGTTGAGAACAGTTAATTTCTGGAATTACTGGATATGGAGCCTCACTATAATCTTCAAGCCCAAAGATGAGGTGTTTATTTCATCTCTTCCCTGGAACAAGTCCCCAGGAATTACTTACTTTATTTCTGTCTATGTATGTGAAAATGGCTTCTGACTTAAAAATCTTTGGTGGCATTCTAAAAAGCTACAAAATGTGGAATTAAAAATAATATTCTCTGACTAGGCATCGTACTGAGGTCTTTCCAAGACTTATTTGTGTTAGTCTCCCAAAGAATCTGATGAGGTGGGATTATTATTCCTGCCATCTTCCAGAGGAGGACACTGAGGTTTAGACAGACACAGTAACTAGTCCATGGTCCACAGCTCATGAGCAGTGGTGCCTGGATTGCAGCCCTGCTCAGCTCCTGCTTTTGAACACTGCACTGTATACTGTCTTCTTTTAAATGTGGTTCTTTTGACTTTGCAAAACTACAAGTTAGTGATTTTGCTTTGTTTCTTTTCTTTTCTTTCTTTTTAGAAATACTAGGCTTCGGGCAGGATGAGAGAGGAGGGATTTCAGACCTGCTTGTGTTTCTAATGTTAAGGAGCAGTTAGTCCTACAGCTGCTGTGATTACAAGATCATAGGGCCCTCCCCAATTTAAAAGTCTCAGAAATCCTTCTTGTCCTCCTAGCTCTTTGATTTTAGAGATTTTGATTTTAGAGGCCCAGCACAGAGATGGTAAGTGACTCTCCTGTCTTTATTTGCAAGAGGGGACTGCACAAACTACAAGTCCCTGTGGCTCTGCAGACAACAGAAAGCTCACCCCTCCTTGCTTTAGTTGCATAAAGAAGTATGAAGATTCAGGGAATAGTTCAATGATTAGTTATACAAATTAAGACTTTGGGAAAGTTATTCTCCTGAAAATAAAAGGGTAATATTCTACTCTCTTGGCAGATGCTTTCTTTTTATTTAAGTAAAATTCATTTTGTCTTGATAACTGCCCTCTTCAAACATGTTTTATTGCAGTCATTCTCTGTCTTTACCGTTAGCAAACTCAGTCAAGAACCTTGTTAAAAGGCAGATTCTTAATCTCTATTTCCAAGAACTCTGACTCGGACATTTTGAGGTTGGGTCCAGAGGTCTATTTTTAACAAACCCATCAGAATATTCTAATGTAGGAAGACTACAGACTATATTTTGGGAAATAGCACTTTGCCTTGTTGTTTCTTATAAAGACAAAAAAGAACTTAGGCTAATTTTGAGACTATTACAACTGAAAAGCAGGCTTTGCTTGAATTGAAGAAGGTATCGATGACTGGGCAGAGAAAGAAAGCAAAACAAAAGTTGACCTAAATGAGATAAAATAAAGTAGAAAAATTATATTTTAAATTGAGAATCATGATTTATTAACTTCTTTGTTCTATATATAGAAATGAGCCAGAAACATGCATTTAATCAAGAGGCAAAATAGCAGTATTTGTTGTATACTCAAAGAGAGTTAATGTAATATTCCTGTTTCCTTATGGTGTGACCCAAGTGGATCCAGGGCTGGAACATGGTTATCCTAACTCCTAATATTACCACAAGAGTTGTCAATAATTAAAAGTGGATGTGAAGTACATTAGATATTCCCTTACTTTACCTAAGAAATGAAAGTCAGAGAATTTAAATCATAAGATGTTGGGGGGAGGGGGGAGTCAGTAATTCTTGATTGAAAACATGACCCATCTTTGCTGAAGGCTAAGTAGGTTTAGGGTCATAGATGTTTCCATTAGGACAGTTTCAACTAACAATTAACAATGAAATATGAATTTCTTTCTGACTTTTCTAATTTCAGAGGTAAAATGCAGCCTCCCACAGTTTATGAACGGAATACGGAAGGAGTTGGAAATGAAAAACGTCTATCACTATGGAGATAATGTAACTTTGGAGTGTGAACAAGGATATACTCTGAAAGGCAGTCCCCAGAGCCAGTGCAAGGCGGATAATACGTGGGACCCTCCTCTGGCCATATGTACATCTCGTAAGTGCAGATGCAAGGAATGTAGGTCCTTCCTAGTCATGGTTACTGTTCATTCATTCATCCATACTGTCATCTTCTTTTTTTTTAATTTTTTGTTTATTGCAGTAACATTGGTTTATAACATTGTATAAATTTCAGGTGTACATCATTATACTTCTATTTCTGCATAGATT